TTCCCCCTCCTTGCCACCTATTCTAGATTCCCCTCATCCTCAACTAGCACTTCTGTTGGGTAGGATGATCTAGACCCTCATCCCTCCAGGGTCTGAGCCCCTGGTTTCCATGGTCTCATCAGGATACGTGTAGGGCAGCGCCAAGGGTGTCTTAGTGGGCCACCTCAGTGCCATGCATATTCCTCACGTCCTGACTGTACAGCTCAGCCCTTCCAGTTATAGTCATTTCTTCCCAGGCCTCCTGGTCTCTGGCATGAGGAGCCCAAGCAACCATGCAGCAGCCATAGCTTTAAGTTTAGTGGAGTTCTTTTTCTCCTGCCCAAGAATCAAGACATTGAGACCCACAGAGCCTAAAGTTGTAAGCACAAGAAGCCCAAATTCCCGGGATCACTGTCAGTGACAGTGAGCTTGGCTACTCCTACTTGATTTCCAAACCCACGTTTTCTCCTTGTTGGGGACACCGCATTACATAAAGGCCTTCACTCTAAGGAGTAAACAACCTCCAGAAGACCACTGTCCCACCTCACAGGGTGTCATTTCCCAAGGTAGTGAAGCTGATGCATCTTTGAGAGACCCCATTCCACCCCCCATCTGAGGTTAGCATCTTCTGGACAGTTTGGTTTGTGTAGGAGCAGGGTATCTCAAAGTCACATGACCGCTGCTATATTTCTTTTGCTGTGAAGTGGGTCCCTTGAGCTGAGGAGGTATTCTGTTTTCCCTCACTGGTGAATCAGATACTCTGTGAGCCCTCAGACAGTGGTGCTGACCAAGGCCACAGAATGTATGATTCTCTCTATGGGAGACCACATAACATTGCCTTGGACTAAGGGACCCAACTTCACTATCCTTTAATATAGGAAATCAGTGTGCTATTTTGTGGAATATCTGGATGGTTCAAACCCTTTTGGGCTATAGAGAGTGGGAGAATGTGAATGGCCTTGGGGCAAGACTGAATACACACTGCTGCTCACCCCAAGTCAATACAAATTGCTTCTGTTCCTTCTTCTGTATGGGGTTGGGGAAGAACACATTTTGCATTTCAGTAGCTGTATGTCATATATGAAGGTGGTGTTCATCTGCTCTGGTAAAGATACTTCAGCAAGCACAACAGCTGCAAGTGGGACTACCAGCTGGTTAGGTTTGTATTAAGTTCGTAATGAGGATATGATGGGAACCACCACCAACTCCTGAGAGTGGTACTTTGAGGATACTGCTGATTTGCAATATTGTTTTGTATTTACTGTATTGGTTTGGTGGGGAGAGACTGGAGGCGGATGGGCATTTCACAAGCTTTTACCTGGCATTTCCTACTATAAGAGCTCTTATGTTACCTCACAGGTCAAAGAGTCAATGTCCACTGCTAAGCAGGTCTATGCCAATTACATACTCAGGAATTGGAGGAAGTAATCAATGGGTGGTTCAGTAAGTGCAGTGAACCCAGTGCAAAAAGAATTTAGGCCAGGACTCCATATATTACCTCTCCTTTATATGGCCCTCTTCTAACAAGGGGACCATGATGGCACTCTGGGTACCTGGTTTACACTCGCCAGGGTGTTGAAGAGTCTTTCTTCATTGGGATCTGGCCTCTTTTAAGTCACTGGGTTCTGGATCTGAGAAGTGGCTCAGATCTAGGAACTTGACAAAGCATCATGTCTTTCCATGGGAGCAGCTGACCTCAGCCTTTTGCTAATTCACACCAGATCACTTTTGATTATACATATGAAGCAATACCTTTGTTGTCTGCTCATCTCTCTTACTCCGAGGAACACCATGTTCTATTAATCATCTCCATTGAAGATTCCTACGGGTCAGGCCCCCTTGTCTCCTACTCCAACCTTGCTGCCCACTTTAATAATTGTATCCATCTTGCTTTTGAGAGTTGAGTGATACCCAGCCTTTGGTAGTCTGCGATCCTGACCTCCACAGTGATACTAAGGAGCTCAGTTTTGTAATGATGTATCCTACCTGCCTACAGAGGATATCCAACACTCAGCTTTTCAGTGATGCTGGTGCTCTTCTCACCAGCTCATTGCTTACTGTCCTGATATATAGAGTGTCCTCTAGGCCTTCAAGGAATATAATCAGTTGGTGTGTTTTCTGGTCGTGCATTTTAGATCCATTCTAGCATGCCTACTACTCTGAGCCTTGAATCCCTTCCTCCACAGCCTGATACAGCTGTTCTGGAACCTCTGCTTCCTTTCCTCAGGGCCACAGCTTTTGCCAAGCTTCCAAGAGCTGCTCCAGCAATATATTGGATCCATCTCCCCAGACTCCAGGGCTCTTGACAGGCTATTAAATCCTACATTGCTGGTGGCCCCAAATCAACAAGCTCTCTTTATCCAGTTTCATATTCTGCCTCATTGGTCTAGCAACCTCAGGACCCATAGTCAGCCATTCTTTCCCAGTTGCTACTGGTTTATGTTAGCCAGGTCCCTCTCAGAGATCCAGCTCTTTCCCAGTCAGATCATGCTGAAACTTGACCCTAATTATCAGGCAAGTGGTCAGGAGGGATAGTATAGGCAGGTCCTGAGGAAGGTACACATTTTCTTCCAAGGCACCTGCATCATTTGAGGTTTCTGCATTGTCCTCAAATGTGGCAGGGGTGGAGTGGAGGGGCTCTATTTTCCAGCAAGAGTGAGTGGATTACTTCTGTAGTCTGAGAGCGCTCAGGGGAACCTCAGGGTGCAAGGTTCTTGTGTGCATCACCCATGTCTTAAAAGCCCTCTTCTTCCCTGTGAGGGGCTTGACTTTGGCATAGGTGACTTACCTCGGCTGAGAACTTAGGCTTCTGTGAAGTTCTGCAAGTCTTACAACTAAGTTCCGTGTCTGGACTTCAGCTCTTCCTGCCATCTACCTAAAGGAGAGGAGTCTGTAAATACCTCCAGGGAGGCCTCGGATTCTCACACTGGGCTTGGAATTCCTGGGTGATCGCCCTGAGCCTGTCATCTCTCATCGAAGCTTCTGTGGCTTTCAACAACTACCCCCTATTTCCACAGTCCGCAGTCCTTATCATTATGGCTCCCCCACATCTCTTGGTGCCAGAAATATCCAGTGGGTGCCCCCTTCCCCGCTTTATGCTGTCCCAGTTCTCCACAGGTGACAGCTTTAGCAATTGCTCTGATAACCACGGTCCAGGGATCCTCGATACATGTTACAGACAGGGGTCCTCATTGCCAGCGGAACCCAAAACGATCCTCCTCCCGGTTGCATCTGGGAGTCTGCTTCCGGTCATGCATTTTAGATCCATTCTAGCGTGCCTAGGGAATGTGCTAGCACGTTTCTAGGGAAACGGTCTGGCGCCGACTGTCTCAGGTCAAGTGCCCTAGAAACAGAGCCCAAGACTGGGTTCAGGTGCATGTGATTTATTAAGGATGTGTTATTCAGGAAAACTCTGGAAGAGAAAGACAGAAACAAGACAAGGGGAAAGAGTAAGATGTGGTCTCAGGTAAAACAAACTTTGGATTGATCCACGAAGGAGCTCAGACGCATAAACCGCAGACAAAGTTGTCCTGTCGGCTGAGAAGCCAAGGTCAGCTTTTTATACCTTTGTATTGAGAAGCCATTGGCCACAGCTATCCCGGGGGCAGGGCTGGAAGTGGGGAGGAGGTATTTAGGAGAGCAATTCTCCGGAGCAGGAGGCAACCATGAGCTCTTAGAAGCCACACACACAGCAACGCCGGGGTGGTTGCACCAACCAGGTAAAGGGGGTCCCCGAGGGGCACCTGCAGTGTCCATGGCAGTTGTGAGGGTATATAGACACGTTTACATAGATCTGTCCGTTGGAACCTAATCTGGTTGATACAGTTTCTTATTTACATTTTGGTTTCCAATGCAAGATTCTAAACTCTTCCACAGCAAGGACTCTGTCCTATTCATCTTTGTGTTCCTAACACGGGGACTGGCAATGAATTGTTACTAGTCAAACACTTACCAGATAAAGAGGAGTTTGGGGTCGATCACAGAGCAACTTGAACTCCAGACGAAGTAATTTGGGTGGGATTCTGTTGGCAGTTGGAAAGAGTGTGGAACACTTACTGGCAGCGGTGGACAATGCGCATTGGACTAGGGAAAGGATGGAGAGAGCGGCCGAGGCACTGTTGTAGTGATGCGGGCAAGAAGCCACAAGAGGCAGAGTTCTGGTAGAGGCTGCAAGCGGAGGGACGCAGATGCAAAAGTCATTACAGGATTATCTACAGGATCCAGATGGCCCCAGGCTGACAGCCAGTAAGGAGACCATCAGCGAGGCTAATCAATCGTGTTACAAGTTTTATTCTTCTCTGCCTCCACGCAGATAGAAGAGCATGCCTCATATTTGCATGGAAGAAATATCCAAAAAAATAAATCCATGTGGGTTTTCTCAGTGTCATGCATAATTAGGCAAAGCCCATGCTTTGGGCTAATAAATACCAAGAGGTATTTATTTTGCACTTGGAAGTAAGCATGGGAATATTTTCTTTCCCTCCATATTTTGGCCAGAGTTCCAAGGTCAGATCTGAGAAAACCCAAGGTCATCAGTGTGGAATTCGTTCAATTCATTAGCACGTGGGGTACTTAAGTTTAAAGTGGTTTCCAGGGGCGCCTGGGTGGCTCAGTCATTAAGCGTCTGCCTTCCGCTCAGGTCATGATCCCAGGGTCCTGGGATTGAGCCCCGCATTGGTCTCCCTGCTCAGCGTGTAGCCTGCTTCTCCTTCTCCCACTCCCCCTGCTTTATTCCCTCTCTCACTGTGTCTTTCTGTCAAATTAAAAAAAAAAAATCTTAAAGTGGTTTCCAGTGACATTACTTTCAAATCAATCATTCTATACCGTAACATATGTTCTGAAAGCTGCTGATTCAGCACATTATCCTCAGCTGCATTCTGGACCGGATCCTGGCTGGGATAATTTATCTGTGACTCAGATGGATCATATACACATCAAGAAATACGTACTTTTTTTTTTTTCCTGGGCTCTTCCAGGACTTGACTCTAGGCAAAGCTGTGTGCATTCCTCTCCAATTTTAGGGCTCAGTGACTTTTGGCCAGGTGCCTGCCCTTCACGTTGTTTTCCGAGAACCGGTTCCTGGGACCCTCATTGCGTGGACTGGACCTGGATTTGCCAGGGTTCTCCCTGGGGCTGGCTTGAGATTTGCTGTCAACAACATTTCCTTTCCCATGAACTTCACCATTGCCCTTCGCTACGAAACTCAGGTATCCAACTTCTTCAGGGGTAAAGGGCTGACTGAAGTGCATTCTCGAATTACGAGTTTCCATTCCAGTCTTGCTAGATTAGGGTCATCAGAAAATGATTTGCAAAAAGTAGAACATCTGGAGAGCATTAGAAATCAAAGAATTTCCTAGCAATATTAAAACAACACAGTAAGCCAGAGGCATACATGCTTTATTCCGTGGAGAGAAGCTGCATTTGAAGTTATATATCTAAGGTACAGGGTCTAAGGAAGTGGTGATGGAATGTTTGTATAAGAACAATGAAAAACTAAACTAACACAAATTCTGCCCTCCTGGGACTTTTTTCTAAAAATTTTCTAAAAATTTAATAAGCTAACCTATGTGCAGAGATTCAGATTCACGCAGAAGAGGTATTTATTTTGCACTTGGAATTTACCCTGAAACAAGAAAAAAGCTAAAGGCAGGCAGCTCCTCTTGCCTCCTCCCCCTGCCTTTTGAGAAATATCTAAGGCAGAATAGAAACCAAATCAGAAAAACACTCCATCTAGAGTGGTGGCCCCTAACCTTTTCTCTGCATAATCTTTTCTTTGATAATCTGAAACCCCACAGACCATTTCCCCTGAAAAATATTTTATAAGGCTGGGGATGGTCTCAGAGCCCCCAGGTTCCTCTGGGGACCACATTCTGGAAACGCTCATGTTACGTTGTATGAGCAGAACTGCTGATCCACTTTGAAACTCTTGATATGACATAATTCTCTATTGCTCACTTATAAATGAAGGCCAAGGGACTTCAGTGAACTTGGACTTGGGGAGTATGATGAATCATTAAAAATATGATATATATTTTTTAATTTTTCCATAGAGAGGACACATCTGTGGCATCTTTAAAAAGCATTTCCAAATTGCATGGCTTTCAGAGTATAGCTGATTAGCATGTACTATAAATATATATATATATGCATATTTAGACACATATAAATAGATTTAGCAATATAATCATCAAATATTACATAACAAAATCTATATAATGATACATTTATATAATAATATTTATACAATAGCATGAAAAAAGGGATATAAGCTTTTGTGAAGGATTCCAAATTTCCATTTTTGTTCTGTAATACAGGGACAGGTACATTAATCGACTCTCTGGGAGACAGAGGTTAAAGACGAAGCCTTTCAGGAGCGCCAGGGCTTTTCCAGGCCATGAACTAGAGCTACGGCCAGAAATAATATTCCTGGGTCTACCTGGGTTGCCATTCAGACCTCAGCGAGTTAGAGCTGAGAGTGAGCCTCTCAGACTTCGCTCGTAAATTCCATTTTCCGAGAGGGCTGGGGGTTGTGGTTTCAAGTCTAGTGCTATCCTTGAGGTGTGTGTTGTACATGCATCCTCACAAGGACGTGCTTTTCATGTCCTGCCCGTCTAGCCCACAGCCGACTGGACTGTCCAGGTCCTGGTTAACCCCCTTGGAGGGAGTGAGCACTGTCCACGCGAGAGTCCATGGCCACGGCCTCCGTCTTTCCCTTTACCAGCGGCTTCCAGGTATGCTTGGGACCTGTCCTCAAACATGGAAGGCTTCTTAGAATTGTTCATCTATCAGTAATTTGTATCAAAGAACTAAGCAGGAGAAGAGGTGCATTAAAGGAGACGGTGGCATTAAGTGCTTGCTGTGGGCTACACTAAACTTCACATTTAAGATCATGTTTTATCTTGCTAACAACTCACTGAGGTAGACTTTCTCTTCATCAGGCGAGGAGGGAATTGAGAATGAGAATACTTGGAGACCCGCCCCAGTCTCATAGCTAACGTACTGCAGAACCAGGATTCTAGCCCCAATCTCCTGATTCTCAGTCTGGAATGTTCCTTTCCCTTTCCCCAGATGGCCTGGAGAGGTGAGAAAGTGAAATGCTGCAAGAGTAAGAGTCAAATATTTAGCTGGCATTATCTCAACAGCTGAGAGTCTGTCAGGTAAAAAAAGCTACTAACTCTGAGGCCACTAATTTTGCATCAGAGATTTGTGGCAAAATAGAACAAGAGACCCTGTTGAGATTAGCATGGTAGATAGGATGAAGGACACTTGTTCTATCCTTTTCACAGTGCAGTCATGACAACCCATTGCTAATAGTTCCTAAGCTTTGCTATTTGGCACAATCCTATGCAAGAGCCACAGAGAGAATCTGAGAGTGAATTTGCTCTCCACCCAATGCACCTGAACTGGTCTAGACCTGGCCTCTACCCCACGGTCAAACCCACGTCTGCGCAGGTGGGATACCACCAAATACCCTGGCCGCTTAGGTTATATGACTGTACTTTTGTCACTGAATTGTTGCTTTATTTCTCTTCATACAGAATCATGCTTCTTCCCACACCCATCTGTTTAGAACCAGATGTACAATATTCCATAGATGTCTATTTTTCCCAGCCTTTGGAAGGAGGGTCCCACGCTTATTCGCACATCCTGGTTGATTCAGTAAGTATCACGGAGCAACGGGGGTGCTGCCTTCCAAACTGAGCCCTGTTATCATTCTACTTTTAGACTCCATGGTGAAATGTTTCTTTAGAAGTATAGATGAGTTTGTTCCATTAGAAAAACCACTGATTCTCTATAAACGTCACCTAAGACCAATTGCAAACCTTACAGAACAGCACGCACCAGCAACAGTTGGAAGTGTTTTACCTATTCTATTGTTTAGTCTTCACAACAACTCTGCGAGGGAGGTACTGTTGTTGTCCCCATTTTATAGACGACAGAACCGAGGCACAGGGTCGCAGAGACAGTGAGAGAGGAGTCTGCCATCAGAGCCAGACTCCCTGATGCCAGAGCCCCCACTCTGAGCCACCACAGTGTCCTGGCCTTGCAGAAAGTTCTGGGAGAAATTCTGCCGCTTTAACTGTCAGCGTCTTGTAAGTTCCGCTCTATATATACTGTGTTTTTATATTGCTGTGAGCACTCGTACATAGATATTTTGTAGTTCCTGTTATAGGATAAGCATTTTCTTATGGTGCTTATGTAGTCTTCTTATCACATTTAGGAACAATGCATAATATTTCCTCAAATGACTTCTTTCAACGCCTTTCCCCCACAAAGCTGGGCCACAGATATTCCTTCCAAACCTCTCACTCTGTACAGAACTTCAGGCCTAGGCTAGTCCCTGGGCAGAGTTTGGGCACTGAGGAAATTTAAGCCTTCAGTTACCAGTATCTATTCCCTACTTGTCCAGGTTTATGGCTCTTGAAATAGCCTGTCAAATTAATTTCTGGAAAGTATTCTCCAATTAACTCTCACGATCATCAGAAATATGTGAAAGTATCGGGTTCATTCCACCTTCAGCAGAATTGTATAGAATTGTGTGGAATTTTTTTAAAGTAATTGTGGGGATAAAAATCAAATTCATTTGTTACAGCTGCATTTTTAAAATATTCGTGAGAGGGGTGCCTGAGAGGCTCAGTCAGTTAAGAGTCTGCCTTCGGCCTTCGGCTCAGGTCATGATCCCGGGATCCTGGGGTCCAGCCAGCGTTGGGCTCCCTGCTTGGCGGCGAGTCTGCTTCCTCCTCTTCCTCTGCCCCTCCCCCTTGCTTATGCTCTCTCTCTCTCTCACTCACTCTCTCTTTCTCAAAATAAATAAAATCTTAAAAAAAAAACAAAATAAAGTATTTGTGAGAATCTTCTAATATCATGATTTAATTGGCAAACTACTGTCCTACAAAGTTTTATTTGAACACAGCTATGGCCAGTTGTTTAAAAGATTTATTTATTTTGGGGGGACGAGGGGCAGACAGAGAGGAAGAGAGAATCCAAGAAGACTCTGCACTCAGCACAGAGCCTGGCACAGGGCTCCATCTCACGACCCTGAGATCATGACCTGAGCTGGAACCAAGAGTCAGGCGCTAAACTGACTGAGCCCCCCAGGCGCCCCTAGCCAGTTGTTTATATATTATCTACCACTGTTTTCAAGCTACAAAGACAGAACTGAGTACTTGCCACAGAGGCCTTATGACCCACAAAGCCAAAAATATTTACTGTCTAGCATTTTATAGGAAGCTTGACAATCCCTGCTTTCATTAGTTGTATGTCCATATTTCATGAATTGTGTCTTTTAAAGTTTAATTTTTAACCATCGAACATTTTAAATTTATAACCTGGAACTTTGCTGTTTCATCATCTACTATAGAACTCAGTATGAGGCAGGTGTATCTTGGAATTTATTCAACAAGTTCAGGTATTGTAACATCTAGAAAAAGCCATTATATAAGATTATTTTACCAGAGAGAGGATTGCAAAATTTAGAAAACAAGGAAGGAGGGAGGGAGGGAAGGAAGGAAGGAAGGAAGGAAGGAAGGGGAGGAGCAAGGGAAGGAGCGAGGAAGAAAGGAAGGAAAGAAGGAGAAAAGAAACGGGACACTCAGATTTGAATATTGTATAAATATGTCCAAAATATTGCCCTCAAATGCATGAGACATACTAAAAAATTATTCATTGCTTTTCCGAAATTCAGTTTCAGCTGGGTGATTTGTATTTTATCTGGCATCCTTACCCAAAGATGGTCTAAATATTGCACCTGGAGGGCCGTCTGATATTGTGGTGAGGTTCTACCATGTTACAGCAGAAATGAAGTGGAAAGTAGAAACAACCTCTTGAATGAGAGTTTAAACTATCGTGATTTCCCTACGCATGTAAGTCCTATTCTCTGCCCAGGAACTTCAAATAGAACTGCACTCACGGACCAACACATGAGTTACAAAGAAAGAAAATCAAATCCAACAGATTTAATTTAGGGGGAAAAAGCTAAAAGTTGGGAACCCAAGTAGAGTAGAAAAAGGAAAAGGAAGAAATTAAGGAATTGATACATCAGGAAGAGATTTTATTATTATAATGATAGTCATGAAACTCAAATTTATAAGAGCCAAGATACTCCTCATCTTAAATCCATATCCTGAATATTTTATATTCACTATTTATAATTTTATTTATAATAGTTTATGACTTGATGCTGTATTTCATGCATCCATACAAATTATCCATTCATCACCCATTCACTGTGCATACATGGGCTGATACTGTGCCGGTTCCCGGGGTGTAAGCTGTGGTCCCTTCCCTCAAATAATTCTCAGTCTGATACAGAAGACAGACGTGTAAATAAAATCATTGCAGTGATATTTGACAGATACATAATACAAATGGGTAATTTGAAATTAACTGAAAAATATTTCCATTTGATCAGTTTTCAAGCAATCATCTCTTATATATAGCTACAAAAACCATGAAACCTGAATGAAAATTAGGAGAGCAGCCTGATCTTCGCAAAGTGTCAGAACCTCAGAAGGGAGGCTAGATCCCTCTTTTGGGTCAGATTCCCCAGAAGCCGGAGCTGAGACAGGGACTTAGGTCCCCCTGATTTATTGAGGGTGTGCTTGTGGGAGAAGAGGCGCGGGGGACAGGGTAAAGAACAGAGCAAGGATGTGATCTGCGCTGACGTGTAGCTGATCCCACAGGGAGCTTGGGAACGTAATTGTACCACCGAGCTGATTGCACCTGGAGGCAAAGTGGCGGAGCCTGTGTGCGCCCAAGTCATCCACCCCACCCATCCCCCAGGGAGTACGTTCACTTCCGGACAAGTTGGCTGAGTCCAAGTTTCTGGAGAAAGGGACAGCTGTGAGCCTTTAGCGGCCAATGCCACAGCAGCTGGTGAACGGGAAGATCTGAGCAGGGCACCTACAGTGTCCCTTTGAGTCCCTGACCCCGGATGTCCATCGGAGAAAGCCAATGCACATTTTCTGATTACAGACTAATACAGTTATTTCCACACCACCAATTTTGCGGCTCTGGGAAGATGCTTGATTGCCTGAGCCCTGGCCCTTTCACAGTTCATTTTTCTCCTACAGCCAGATTAACATTTATATCTAAGACCAGGATGCATTACCAAGAAGCCCGGATGAAAGCTTTGGTCAACCCTGGATGCTCCTGAAATAGCTTTTGTTTGGCAAGCGTAGTGAGACAGTCACAAATTTCCTTCAGTCACCCTGATTTCATGATATATGCTTCCGTGAAAATGTGTTTAAGAGTCGAAAGTATATTAGCCATTCTAGAATATAAAACTGCCATTCTTTTAAACCATGGGATGGACTACACTTGGTAAACAAAGTCTTTAGAAGTTTCTAGAAGAAGTGAGTTACAAAATCCTATAGCTTGACAGGGACTCTTACCATCTGGCCCATCAGTTTGGTGCCAGGACTGACCTCCTCAAAACTGCCTCAGACAAGTAACTGTAGATAACGAACCCCTGGTTGGCTGCCTTCATCCCCAACCCTAGCCTGTCCGGCTTCCTTCTGCATCTCTCTTCACTCACTCTCTTCACTTGGGGAACGCAGTCATTTTGGTATCAACTTGAAAGAACACACTAGACAGGTGTGTATACGTCTTCATTGAGCAAATATTTATGAAGTAGCTACTGTGAATTAGACACTGTGGTAGGCACAGGTGTGAACGAGACAAGCACCGACATGCTAGGGCTTCCTCTCTAAAGGGGGGATGCAGACAGTTACACGGGAAATGGCAGCGTGGTCTGAGAGCTACCGGAAGCCGTGGCAGGTCACCGAACAGAAAAGCTTGGGGTGCCTCAAGCAGTGATCCTCAGCATCACCTGACTCAACCTCCTCTTTTTATTGCAAATGTTTTCCAACACTCTTTACTGATTTGAAATGCAATTCATGGGCATTATAGCCTACCTTCATACATACCTTCCAAAGAATGTCAATGTAGTGTGCGAATACAAAGAGATATAAAAGGAAAGTGATTTATAGAGGAACATTATGTACTTCAATATGTTTGCGCACTGGCATGAATATGCCGCAGACACATGAGACAGGGACATGCTCAAAGGTGTAGAATCCCTCAGTGTGAGACAGGAGTGTTGCAAACATGTTCCGGTCATGTTTTTAGAACAGAGAATAAGGCTTTCTGACCTTATACTCATAAACAAAGATTTCTTCTGCATGGATGTTCGGTGAAACATGGGCTGATTTTCCTTTGTGTCAAAACGTCAGGGATTTCTGATCCGCACCTGCTAAAAGCCAGTGACATACCTCATCCGATGGCCATGACAACCAAAACTACCCCTTGGAATTCCAAAATGCCCCTTAGGGGATGGCACCTCCCATACTGAGAACCACTGAGCCGGGAGGTTGGGGGGCAGGGGGACACGGGGGTAAGAGAAAGAAGCCACTGAAGGTTTGAAGGAGAGGTTATCCGAACAAACCGCCTCTTAAGGAATCACTGTGACTACAGGGTAGAAAATTGATGGGGGAAGGGGAAAGAGTAGAAGATGGGACATCTGTTGGGCTGCCACCATGGTGATCTGGATGGCCTCCATTAGAGCAGTGACAGGGGGGCAAAGAAAGATGAATGCATCCTAGACACATCTGAGAGCTTAGATGGACCAGGCTTGTGACTGACTTGATGTGTGGGGCAGTGGGCAGTGTTGATGGCGAAGGGGCAAGTATCAAAGATGACCTTCCTCAGTCTCCTACATTGAGTAGCTTGGCAGCTGCTGACACTATCTCCTGCCAACAGGCACAGGGAGGAAAGCGGGTTTCAGGTGTTTTGGTTTGCAGGGCCTGTGGGATGACCAGTAAGCTTGTCTGTGCGGATCTGGAGCCCGTAACTGAGATGTGGGCAGGAGACCTAGGTCGAGATGTCGGCAATCTATACTGACGGTAACTGAAGGCACAGCATTGTCAAGGTTGCCTAGAAGGGGGGTGTGGAGTAAGGGAGGGGCTGATGAGAGAACCCCGAGGACCCCAACATTGAGGGATGGGTGGAAGGAGAGGCGCGGCATTGGCGTGAAGAGTAAATGCGGGAGGAGGCGTGAGGATAGCAAGGAAACAATGTTTCAAGAAATGTGGCTATCAAGGAGTCAAAGGGCAGAGACGGGGGTAGTGGCAGGAGGAATATATGAGGTCAGGAGGTGACTTTACGGATGGGAGAGATTTCAGCACGTTTAAATGCCAGTTGAAAGGAAGAGATTAAAGAAAGAAAGTATAATCCACAGAGAAGTTTCCCGAGGGCAGAGGGCACGGTGGCAGACATCTCTTCCCCTGGGACACTTCTTCATAAGCGCCAAGCCAGGGACAGGGGTAGTACCTGTGCGCCCGGAGTCTGGGGTCTGGGAGGCAGGAAGCGGGAGGCTCCATTACCTCTGTGAAGCCAGAGTAGGAAGAGCAGTGAGTGGTCCATCCAGGAACGCAGGGAGAATGAAGATAGCAGTTTGAGGCGTGGAGACACTGTGAAATGGGCATCCAGGGCTGAGATTCCACCCCTGGCGTGTCAAAGGGCAAAGAGAGAAGGACCGGGGGTGTGAATGGGCGTGGGGGGAGGGGGTGGTTGAAAGGGTCCTCGAAGCAAAGGACCATGGGAACAAGGTTCAGTATGGACGAAACAAGAAGGCCAGGGGAGATTTATCTGGGCCCCCTGGTTCTCTCTTTTAACTTGACCTGCTGAATTAAATCTTATTTTCAGTGCTGGCCAACTTGGTGTGATCGATTCTCTTATACCAACATGTTCTCCACTGCATCAGCCACGCCACTGAAAAACATTTAAGGTGGTAATAGCTTATAACACAGGCAAAATCTTCTCAAATATAATCATATGGCTTTTCTTCACATAGGGTCAAACTGTAGATGATGCCTCCGCGAGAATAAGCTTAGAACAATGCATCTGCCCCTCTAATAGCTGTATGCTCTAAGCCAGCAATTCACAGAATGCATCTGTGAGATACTGAGTTTGTGGGGTGTTAGTGTTACTTGAATATAGGACCAAGTAGTTAAATAAGCATGAAAGCACTGAGTCTAAAAATATCTTTCTTGCAGGACTTCTCAGAGCTTTCGTATGTTAATCTACACTGTGACTCTCCAAGAGGCAGATAGTTTGATGTAGGACACTACTGTTCATATGGAATTGAAAAGGACAAAACGTTTAAAAGAAGAGTTCTGTGGATTTAGAGTTCCACAATAATACTATGGAATGCGCTAAGCCGTAATTCCCGAATTTATCACAAGTAGCCTAGTTAAAAGTTTTTGAAATCTAAGACAAATTTATGAGCTAGCTAAAAATACAATAAGGATGGTAAAAAAAAAAAAGTCTTATTTTCTTTGTCCCAGGTCAATAAATGTAAATATTTAAAGATTTCTTAAATACAATGAAAATCCTAAAATCCGTTGTAAGCACTTTCTCATAGATCTAATTGTTTATACAGCTAGAATCTTGAACAGGAGACAGTTATGAACCTAGGTCTTCTTTTTGCGTTATTTCAAAAGCTTGGTCTGATTCCCCAAATCAATTCATTGGAGAATTTCTGCAGCAAGCAGGATTTAGATGAATATCAGCTGCACAACTGTGTTGAAATTGCCTCGAAGATGGGACCTCAAGTGCTCCCTGGTGTGTGTGAAAGGCTGATAGTCAGCATGTCTGCCAGGCTACACAACGGGGCAGTAGGTGAGTATTGGCCCAGTGGGCTCTACCAACGCACAGCTTTTTAGAATGTGAATGAATCGATTTAATTTATTTTAGCATCTACTCCAAACAATCAATGTCAATGACAATTTCCCAATGATTAGATATACAACAGAGTCTGTTGATGTGTTGGAATCCCAATACACAGTACAGTAAGTGTATAAAAAATGAGCCTTGTAGTGGCATTTGGCTGCTAGGATACTGGAACAATGGTCCTAAAATACTTATTTGGAATCCTGGACTTTTAGGGCTGGAATGAACTCTAAACAACTTCTTTCATCCTCAAACTTTCATTCAGTGAACGAGACTCTTGGGGTCCAAACACATTAGGTAACTTGTCCATTTCACTAAGCCTTAGGGCTGTGTTTCTCGTTCTGAAATTTGGGGCTGAATAATGCTTTGTTGTGGAGGGGGTTGTCATGGGGGGCTATTCTGTGCATGATAGGAGGTTTAGCAGCATCTCTACCCTCTGCCCACCCAATACCAGTAGCACCTTCCCTCCAGTTGTGACATTCAAAAATGTCTTCAAACTTTGTCATATGTTCCAGGAGGAGGGGTTTACAAAGTCTCCCCCCAGTTGAGAACCGCTGCTATAGAGTGACAACTCCAGTGAGACCTCGGGGTTCCTGAGTTCTGGGCAAATGCTTCTCCCATTACACTGCAGGACTCTGGCTTCAGGGTGCCCACAACCCCATGAAAGAGACAGAAGAAGGGAAATCAAACGGATGGTCCAGCACCAACATAGATCATCAGGATTTGAAGGAATAATATCAATAATGCTAATTATATTGGAGCAGTTAATTACTAAAACAATTTCTTTTAGGCCTTTCATTAACTTGTTAAGTAACATTTATTGTTAAGCTATGTGTTTTAAGTCATGTTTATTGAGCACTTACTACCTGCCACACAGTTCTAAGTACTTCACGGGCATTATTGTCTTTAATCCTTATAATCCCCTGGGGTAGATCCTATATTTTTCCCATTTCACAGATGAAGGAGTCGAGGATGAGAGAAGTACCAAACAAAAGCAAGTGAACTAAAGCTCCCAACAGGACCAGGTGCTTCTCTGTCGCTTCCTTCACCTCTAACTGCCCTCTTTGGCTCCCCACAGCCTGCAAGTGTCACCCCCAGGGCTCGGGGGGGCCCAGCTGTAGCCGACTTGGGGGCCAGTGCCAGTGCAAGCCTCACGTGGCCGGGCGCTGCTGTGACAGGTGCTCACCAGGAAGCTACAGTTTGGGACATCATGGCTGTCACCGTATGTAGCAAAAAACAGATGGGGAAGACCTGCATGGTCACAACCTTGGCGTTTCAAAGGCAGGAAAATCAGTATGGGTCTTTAAAAGAGGAGGAGACTGGGAATTTGACGACATGACTCAGGCTGTCTGTCTATGTAGATAAAATGTATGGGGAAATTTTTCTATCATATTTCATCGATCCGTTCAGAGGGCACCAAATGGATACAGAGCTCCATTAGGAATCATGAGTGATGGTGCTCGCTTCGACAGCACATATCCTAACATTGGAATGATAGAGATTAGCGTGGCCCGTGTGTAAGGAGGACACACAAATTTGTGAAGGTGTCACGAGTGATGGTAAAAGCACGGCCTGGGCTTCTGGGAGCGTGCAGTCTGTATCAAAGAGATGGCAGTCCAGGGAGGATGTGAGAACCCTGGGAAAGGAGTTGGCTGTGCCAACCCAGCTTTATGATCTGGCACAGAAACCCAGTGGCTGGCCAGGCCAAAAGAACAGTGAGATTCAGAAGTCAAAGAAGGGGACAGCTCTGCCACCTGGATATCGGCCTCTCTGATGCTGGGGTCGCAAACAGCCACAGAACTGATTTTGTAAGCGGCACATTAATATGGGCTTAGACAGGTCTTTGTCCATACGTGGTGGCAATCCAATCTCATGACTCCCATGTTCAGGGGATATAGTTCTCTGTTCACGCTGTAAACCATTAGTGAAAATACTGTTCCCCACAGAAACCTGTCTTTGGTGGTTATCTCCAGATAGCTTAATTCTTTCAGGTAAAGGAACAACATATCTTTTTAGTCATGATTCAGAGAGATGGCATACTTTCCTGGTCATTGTCAACCCAGCACACAGTGCTCAGGTCCATGATCATTTTTGTGTCCCTTTCTTAAAAAAAAAAAAAAAAAAAAAGAATGAAGTGCTTGAGATTCACAAAGGGGTATACACAAAGGAGCAAGCCTGTCTTCCACCTCCTGTCTTTGTGTAGGGAAGATTGGCTCCAAGGATTCAACAATTTTCTAGAGAAGGATTGAGCCTCTGTGATCTCACTGAGGAAAAAGAAAAAGCCAACCACCCTGGGAGGGGTTTTTATATTTATTTAGAATCTTGAAGTTTGACTTGATTAATTAGAAGTTCGAGTCATTAAGAACACGCTGCTTGTTCAGGTCCTGTATATAAACAATGCTTATAAGCCCCGATGGCTCACAGTGTACTGTTTATTGGGTGAATCAGGGAATTGTATGACAAACATTGACCCGGTACTCAGTGCATGCCAGGTTCTCAGACTCACTTTGTGTACCTGATCGGGATGCAACAGTAAGTTCAGCTGCTACAAAATCAGGACCGTCACTCATTCCCCCAGCACACCACTTGCCCCCCACTCAGCATTTCCTCTTTCTTTGTCTAGAATGTCACTGTCACCCTCAAGGCTCAAAGAGCCCTGTATGTGACCAAATAACGGGACAGTGCTCCTGCCAGGGGGAGGTGGCCGGCCGCCGTTGTGATCGGTGCCTGCAAGGCTACTTTGGATTCCCCAGCTGCCGCCCTTGCCTTTGTAATGGGTTCGCCGAACTTTGTGATCCAGAGACAGGCTCGTGTTTCAATTGCGGGGGTTTTACAACTGGAAGAAACTGTGAAAGGTACAGAATCCACATGCAGTTTAATTTTGTTTCTTTTGTTCCGATGTCACAACACTCTCTGAAGGACCACTGGGTAGAAACCCAATGGTATTTCAGTGTAGAATGGTTGCTATGGGAGGTGGGGGAAGATAGAGCGTCATTCCTGGTGTCCTTCAAGATCTTGTGATGAGCCAGACCATGTCTGATTCAATAAAAAACAGGCATTTATTGGCCTGGCACCTTGCTTTTTATGTCCCTGAAATATGACATGTAAATTCACTGCTACTTTATTGAGTTTAATGACTACACACCTTGGGACTTTCAGTGTAAAGCAAAAAATTACTTCACTTTAGAAGCGAGCATTCTAAAATACAGAGTTTTGAGAGTTGCACTGTCCTCAAGCATAGCAAATCCACATTGGCTAATGTGAGCTTTTCGTGGGAACATTTGGTAAAAAGAAATTGTCTTGCCAGATGCATCGATGGTTACTATGGGAATCCTCCTTCAGGACGGTCCTGCCGCCCTTGCCGATGTCCAGATGTTCCCTCGAGTAGCCAATATTTTGCCCATTCCTGTTATCAGCATCCTTGGAGCTCAGATGTGATCTGCAATTGTCTTCAAGGTTATGCAGGTACGCAGTCTAGTTCATGATGCCTTTTTGCTTCTATCCCATAATGCTATCTAAAAAATGATCCCATGTTCATAATTTATCTGCTCTGAACAATTGAGTGGTCCTGAATAGAAGTTAATGGTAAGAAGACACAATCTGGTACCTTGCTGCTTTACCGAACAAAGGATTTGAATGATTCAGAAACCAATGACAATGAAGAGCTCATTCCTCTGAGCTATAACTGTTTTTAAATAGTTCTGGAAAACTAACTGACCAAATGAGTTCAAATCAAAATAACTTATTTAAAATAAAACCATCACATGTTAAGTAAGATACATAGGTGATTAAGTAATATATATGTCTTATGTAACATATAACATAAGCAATTAAAAAGTATAAAATTTTAATCAAATGCTTTCTTTATATAATCCCAACCAGTCAATTTGACTGATATTTAATAAATACAACTTATTTTTTCAGATGTCTTGAAGCACTGATTCGGGCCTCATACAGACACCATAGAAGTCAATTCAATATTTGTGTCTGTCACTCTACCAAAAATGTTATTTTGAAGAGTTTAAGCATGAGTGTAAAGATATAAGGCAAACAAGGAAACAACATGAATTCAACTTGATTTAATCATATTTTGAAAATATGGTGCTGCTATTTTCTTCAACGGTAGTTACCACCATGATAATAAATGACATGGCTTTTTTCTTTTTTGCTTCCTATGTCTCTCCTTCATTCTGACGTCTTCCCATGTAGTTTCTTGTCCATGTGCACTCTGGCTTGGTTGGCCAGTGTTTCATAACTGAGACCATGATTGGCGGACGAGAGCATTCCCAAATGGGATGAACCAAAATGTGGGGGGTAGACCCACAGTTTGGGTGCCTAGCTGACCACAGTTCCCCGGTGGTTGGAAGGGTAGCAGGTGGAGGTGTGAAGGAATGGTTTCTCCACACAGTTCTTTTTTTTTTTTTTTTTTTAAAGATTTTATTTATTTATTTGAGAGAGAGAATGAGAGAGAGAGAGAGAGCACGAGAGGGGGTTGGGTCAGAGGGAGAAGCAGACTCCCCGCCGAGCAGGGAGCCCGATGCAGGACTCGATCCGGGGACTCCAGGATCATGACCTGAGCCGAAGGCAGTCGCTTAACCAACTGAGCCACCCAGGCGCCCCTCTCCACACAGTTCTTGATAAAAAACACCCTCCAGGCTGCGCACATCGAGAAAACCACTATCACCATCTTCACTGCTAGACTTCCATCTCAGGGCGCTGCTGGTTCACCTCCAGAACCGGGTGCGCGTGGGGGTACCCCAGAGAGAACAGGGGCTGAGATCAGCTTTGGGGCCCGAGGCACACTGGGGTGATCCCAGTTATAGGAAGATCCAGAATCCTGTGCCTACCACTCTGTAGTTTTTTTAAGGACTAGAATGCATTCCTCACCAAGGGCTTTTTAGTTCTGAATAATCATTGTATTCCCTGACTGGATAATAAATTAAACTGAATGTTTTGATTCAGAACATTTTTTCCTTCTTCATCCCCGATGTGTGACATCTCATTATCCCTTGAAGATCCTAATTACTCTCTGCATCCGTCTCCATTCCCTGCTCCCCCAACACCCACCCCCCCGCCAGACACACACACACACACACACACACACACACACTTCTCATCTCTTTCCTGTTTCCTCTCCCCTCCATTCAGGTAAGCAGTGTGGAGAATGCTCTGCGGGTTTCTACGGAAATCCCAGAATTTCAGGAGCGTCTTGCCAGCCATGTGCCTGCAACAAGAACACGGGGGTGATGGACCCCGAGTCCTGCAGCCGGCTGACGGGGGAGTGCCTGAAGTGTTTGCACAACACGCAGGGGCCCCACTGCCAGTTCTGCAAACCGGGTTACTTTGGATCGGCCGTCAATCAGACCTGCAGGAGTAAGTCTGCCGGGCCCCCGGGGGGAACGTGGCAGCGGAGCGAGGCCCCGGGTGCCTGTGCCGGGATCGCCTGCGGACAGGGCTGGGATATTAACAGGCCGATTCCTAGACTCTCCCTCCGACCCACTGAGGGCAATCTCCAGGAATCTGGGACCAGTTCATCCAGTGTCTTTAATGTATCAATTGGGGAACCCCTGATGCAGAAGAGGGCAAGGGGTTGAGTCTATGATCTAAAAAAAAAAAAAAAAAAAAGAGGAGGAGTGAACTGCTCATTTTTAGGAGATATTTAACTATTTCAGTTGACTCAAGTCAACGTAGTAAACTGTTTTCAGACTGTGAGTGGCAGGTAGAAAAAGTGAGGTTTTCAGTCATCCTAACCGTGAGCTCTCAGAACATAGTCAGCAGAACCACATGAAATTGCTGTGTGAGGCGATCAGAAAGAGTTGAATGGGTTCAACCTACTTAGATTCTTTGATAAATCTGAAATATAAGGTGTCTCTTCCTTGAGCCCTTTGGAGAAGTGATTCATACAATGTTTGTGTGGTTTGTGGAATGCCAGGGTCATCCCTGAATTTACCTGTAGCAATGGCTCTATTATCCCAGGGTGCTCCTGCCATCCTTCCGGGGTGAATCCTGCTGAGTGTCCCCCTGGTCGGGGAGCTTGCCTCTGTGACCCTGACACTGGCACATGCCCTTGTCTGCCCAATGTCACAGGCCGGGCCTGTGACCGTTGTGCAGACGGATACTGGAATCTGGTCCCCGGCAGAGGATGCCAGCCATGTGACTGTGACCCCCAGACCTCTCAAGGCGGCCACTGTGACCAGGCAAGATGCTCTGAGCTTACCTGGGGCGCTAGAGTGGGAAGGGAGGGGGAGACGCGGTTTCCAAATTTGTAAATAATGTCTTCTTTATGTACTGTTGTTAAATAGTGTTTTTGGACAGGATTGGCCTTATACAGGGATAGAGTCTGCATTTATAAGGAATGAAAAGCACTAAAAAAGACAACGAGGGTCTCAAGGTCAAGTTTGGCCTCTTTCAGCTTTCTCCAAGCCTCTCTGTGACTGGAGAAGTCAGAATTCATGCACAGCGAAACAGAGACAACTTCTCTTCCCCTATCCCATATGTATGATCACAGGGAAGCTCCAAGAAATTGATCATTAACCAGAATTGATGATTAACCAAAATGAAAATCAATGGATGCGTGCATTTTCAGAAACTGAGCTGTCATTCCCTACAGCTCACCAATCACTTTACGTATGGGTAAAATAAGATGTCCCTTTACTTGCCAGACCAGCATCAGTGGTTTCTAAAGGATGCAATGTAGTGTACTAGGAGCAAATCTGCATTGTGTAAATATACAATATACAATTAATGCTACCTCACTGCACATGCGATTTTTAGTCAATAAAATAACGAGCATGGAATTTTTGAAACGAATATAATAACATCTATATGGGAAAAAAATCTATTCATATCATGATCAGGGTATTTGGCTTAGTAAATATATTATTTGAAACACTTTCCACGTTAATAGAGATTGGGGGGAAGGGTAAAACAATGACAAGAAATTTCAGAGTCAGTCCATACTTCAGGGACCAGGGTTTAATTGGAATCAAAATGCTAATTTAAGAAACTGGACTTTTCCCAACTACTACTAATAATAAGCATGGCTCACCTCCAATTTCAGCTCCACTATTCAACTGATTCAAAGGTCAGATCTTATGCAAGTCAACTTTTGAAGGTAGTTCTCATATACTGAATGTGTTTTCCTTTCTCCTTTTTTTCTTTTTCTTTCTCTCCAACCCTCCTGCTCCAACACACACACACACACACACACACACACACAAACACACACACTCACCACGCCCTTTTCTCCCTTAATAAATTTTGTATTTTGGAATAGATTTCCAGAAAAGTTGTGAAAATAGTACAAAGAAGATGGGCCCCACACCCAGCTTCCTCTGCTTTCAACAGCTTACATTAATATGGTAGATTTGTCACATTTAATGAACCAATATTGATACATTATCACTAACTAATGTCCATAATTTTTTCAGATGTCCTTAGTTGTTTACCTATTGTCCTTTTTCCGTTACAAGACCCCATCCAGGACGCCACCTTACATTTAATGATCTTGTCTCTTTAGGTTCTTCTTCATTGTAACGTTTCTCAGACTTCCCTTATTTTTGATGACTTTAACAATTCTGAGGAGGATTTTGGAAAATGTCCCCCTATTCAAATTTGTCTGACGTTTTCTCCTGATTGGACTTGGACTATGGGTTTGAGGAAGAAGCCCGCAGAGGGAAAGCGCTGTTCTCATCACATCATATCAAGGCTACCCACTATTTACATGATTTATCACTGTTGACACTAATCCCAATCACCTGGCTGAGGTAGTGTTTGTCCTGGTTATGTTTTGTAAAGTTACTTTTTTTCCTTCTTTCCATACTGTGCTCCTTGGAAGAAAGTCACTATGCACAATCTTTACTTGAGGAGTGGGGAGTTTCACACTTCTTCCTTGAGGGCAGAGTAGCTCCATAAATTATTTGGAATTCTTCCACACTGGAGATTTATCTGTTGTCCCCCATGTCTTCATTTATTAAGCATTTTTTAATACCTATATGGAGTCATGGGTATTTATATTATAGTTTAAGTTACAATCTGATACTACTTTATTTTGCTGTTCAAGTTAGTCTAGCTTTGGTCATTGGGAGCGATTTCAGTGGGTTTCAATACCTCATTATTGTTGGGTTTTGGGGTTTTTTTAAGCACTTTCTGCATGACAAGATACTCTAAGCTCATCTGGTGTATTTCCTGCCCCTCTCCTAGGAAAAGCCATTTTCTTTTTCTTTCCTACTTTTTTTTTTTTTTTGAGAGAGAGAAGTGGGAGGAGGGGCAGAGGGAGAGGGAGAGAGAGAATCTTAAGCAGGCTCCACACCCAGCATATAACCTGACACAGGGCTTGATCCCATGACGCTGAGATCATGACCTGAGCCGAAATCAAGAGTCAGACACTTAACCAACTGAGCCACCCAGGCGCCCTGAATCAGCCATTTCTTTACGGAGCACTGGTTCCTTTTACTGGAGAATGGTATCTGAGCACTAGATGACCATACCTGTCTTATATCCCCCCATCCACTCCTCGTACCTGCTGCCACCGACCATGGAACAAATGGTAGATCTCCACATGACTGCTTGGCTTCCTAATTCAAGAGGAACCCCTAAGGTTCATGACATCACTGTCTGGCATGCTTCTTAGACCTGTTAGCTTCTTCTTCTTCTTCTTTTTTTTTTTTTTTAAGTAGGCTCCACACCCAGTATGCAGCCAAACACCGGGCTTGAATTCACAACCGTGAGATCAAGACCTGAGCTGAGATCAAGAGTTGGCTGTTTAACCAACTGAGTCACCCAGGTGCCCGGTAGACCTTTGACAAAGCATATTTGTAGCAGGACTCAACAAAGACCACAGTCCAGTCACGGAGACAAAGGGAAGCCTATGAAGCTAACAGTCAGATGGCATTGGTTTAACCAGAGAGCCCCCTGATGACAAGGGTATTTGGGGTGGTCTGGTCCATTGGGGATTCCTTGGGGAAGATTGCTCTTTGAAATCAGGAAAACACTTTCATTGGAGTATGGAAGAGACAGGTGGATATTTAGATTCCCAGCTGTTTAAACCACCACCGGTAAGTGTCTCTGTGTCAGCCGGCTGGCCATCCCTGGTGCACTATTACAGAGAGGCCCAAATGTGTCATCCAATATTTTCATCAACAGTCGTGATGGAGGTGGAGAAACATGCTTCCCAAATATTATCAAATTTGCAGATACGGCAAAGTTGTAAGTTCATGGGATAAAGATAGAACAAGAGACAAGATATCCTAACAGCCTGTGCTGTTGGCTGGAAAGAAGAATGTGAAATGTCACCAGGATAAAAGTGAAAGTTTTGCAACTGGGTTTTTAAAGTCCATTGCATCAGTACAGGGTAGGAGTAATAACCTGGCACCAGCTTGTGTGAAAAACATCTGAGGATTTCCGCTGTGTGTTTCCAGTGAGCCAGCAGTGGTTGCCAGGCTGCCAAAGACCCGGTGTCCATTCAGGCTGGACTAGTGGGAATGCCACGCTCGGGTTCAGGCCAGTCACTGTCCCAGGGTCCTCTGTGCTGGTCAGATAGCTGTAGGAGCATTGCTTTTATTTCTGAGTACCACCTTTTAAACATTATATTGACAAACTAGTATGTGTCTGAAGGAAGACAATCAGGAGAGTGGGTAGAACCATCACTATTCTATGATGAAGGCTTGAAGGAATTAGAGGTGATCAGCCCAAAGAAAAGAAGCAAATGCAAATTGAGAATGGTCATCTCTAGTTGGGAGAGGGCCTGTCCAAGGGAAGGTGGAGGCTGCCTGTTTTGTGCAACAGGGCTCAGAACAACGGGAACAAGTTACAAAGGAGCAGACTCTGCACCCATGCAAGAAAAGACTGTCCAACAGTTAAGGACAACCAGCAGTGTGCCAGGCCTCAGGGACAGCCTGCTTGCCACAACTCCTTATGTTTGAGCAGAAGCTAATGGGAACGCCAAAGATGGGCAGAAGCTGCATAGATCCAGTCATTTTATAAATCAAGCTACTTATGGAGCTGTCGTTTAAGCAGATTTGGTCATGTATAACCCAGGACCGTGACAATAATGATTTGTTTCTGTATTTTTCTCCTGTGAATTTTCTAATCTCCCCAGGTTTCAGAAAAGCTGGTCAAGGATCCAGTTGGGAGGATGCACAAAAGATCAGCCCTCTCCGCCAAAACACAGTTAAATAACTGTCATTAAATGATTAAGCATCGATTGCAAAAAAAAAAAAAAAAAAATGTTTTGTTGAGCAAAACTGGGAGAAACTCCATTGTATGTTCCATAATGGAAACATTATTTTCCAAATGAGTTGATGAATATTCGTTCGGGGCTTTGGCTGTGTCATGCATTAAATCCAATAACTGTAGAGGAAAAGAATGTGGCCCATTTCCCATGATGTGTTTTGTTTTCATTTACATCTGTGTATATTTCCCAGTTTGGGGCCACCTGTCCTCGAACAGCAGGAAGCAGGCGGTATATTCAGGGGCCCTGAGCCAAAACACATTAGCTCCTGAGCCTTGGTCTTGCCGAGGGTGTTTGCTGGCCGTGGGAATCATCCTTCCTCTGCCTTTGCACAGCTGTATGTTCTAAACCACTGGAGGGAAAACTGTTTTGTATTAAGATGCATTGTTTGTTTTAGATCATAAATCTTGTCAATTCCTCACCCGTGACTGTTCTCACAGCTTACAGGCCAGTGTCCGTGTAAATTCGGCTATGATGGGAAACACTGCAGAGGGTGCAAGGAAAATTATTACGGTGATCCACTGGGGCGATGCATTTGTAAGTATTGCTAATTCTAAAAACCTGAGGACCGTCCGCCTGCTCCGACCATGAGCATGCTATGAGCCAGCTGAATTTTAAATTCCTTTATTTGATAGAAAATTCACAATGTGTAATCTTAGTTTTGAAAACAATATTTTTTATAGCCTTATAAAAAGATTTGTGTCAAACTATAGGCTATATTAGATGTGTTGAAGCCTGGATTGCAATTCCTTAAAGTCCCTAAAATGGAACAGACGTCTGAGGTCATGACTTGTAGCCAGTTTTCTGCTCTTTGGAAGCATGTTGACAAAAACAGCATCTAAAAGGAGATACAGGCTGGGAGATGGTTCATAGGAAGCCAGCAGAGGGGATGTTTCCTCACCTTGGAGCTCATAACTCTGGATCTTTCAGATACTCACTGATTCATTTATTTTAAGATATTCATAGTGTGCCTACTGGGTAAGCTAGGTCATGAGCAAATAAGGCAAGGTCCCTAATCCTATAGAGTTCGTGGTCTAGTGCCTTTCACCCCACGTCTTAGCACTGATTGTTGGATTTAGAGCAGCACCATCCAACAGAACTTTCTGCAGAGAAGGAAATTGTCCAATCGGCACCATTGGGATGCAGGGGCCACTGGCCTGTGAGCTGATGAGCACTTGTAATGTGGCTAGTGCAGATGAGGAAAAGAACTGTATGTTCAATTCATTTAAATTTCAGTAGCCCTGGGTGGTAAGTGGCTACTTACCATGTCCATATTGGACAGCACAGATTGAGAATCTGGGTTAGTTCTAGGAGGGATTTTTGAATCTCTGTAGTCTGCTGCCAAAAGAAATATCCAAAGAAATATCAGATGTGGTGGGCTTATTACGGTCACCTCTACACAGCCACACATGGTAACTCTCTTCTCCTCTCTATTCCTTTCTAAATGTGCTTTTGTGGCTAAAATAAATGGCCTTCATTTCCTTGCCCCACTCAAATCCATATCCTCAATGGTTTCCCTGGTCCCACTTAGTTTTCTAAGTGGAATTGCTACATTAAAAACCAGGGTTATCTTTTGGTAAGCTAAAAAAAAAAAAAAAAAAAAGGATCAATTTTGGCTCCTGGAAAATCTGTATGAGCCTCTTTCCTCTGTGCCTTTCTAATATTGCAATAATCTCATTTTCTGAAATGCTTGCATCTTTGATAAAGAAAATTTTGCAAATGATCAACTCAGACCACAGACCCCCTCTAACGCTCCTGGAAAAGAGCAATTAATAAGCTGGTGACTTGACATAGTGCTGCCCCAGAGGGGTCCTGCTGAGGCCTCTGTGCCAAAGCCAATGTGCTGGACAGATGGTATCTAGCTGAAGAGCCTAGCATCTTAATCAGTTTTTATTTGTAATCAGAATTTTTACTCAAGCTTTAAAATGCATTTTTAAATCACTCTTTCCTTGCAGTTAGTCCAGTGACATAGGCTAATGATTCCCTGACCTTCTGGAAATTGCTGTAACTTCCATAGCTCTGTCTGTCCTCCATCCTCCGCCTTAATCAAAAACCTACTCAACTGAATTACATGTAGCATCTGTTGTTGTTTTTTTTAACTAAGACAAAATTAATTGTCTCCCTTTTTAAAAGGACTTGATTTTTTTAGAGCAGTTTTAGGTTCACAGCAAAATGGAGAGGAAGGTACAGAGGTTTCCCATATACCCCCACGGCCCACACATGCGTGGCCAGCCCCATTATCCACACCTCCAAGACAGTGGCACGTTTGTTACAACTGAGGAACCCACACTGACACACCATAACCACCACCAAAGTCCGCAGTTCACATTATGTTTCACTCTTGGTATTTTCCATTGTCTGGGTTTGGACAAATGTATAAGGACACGTATCCACCATGATGGTATCATACGTAATATTTTCACTGCCCTAAAAATCCTCTGTGCTCCACCTGTTCCTCTCTGGCCACCCCCCTGCCCACAGCCCGTGCCAACCACTCACCTTTTTACTGTCTCCATAGTTGTGCCTTTTCCAGAATGTCTGGTAGTTGGAATCCTACAGTGCATAGCCTTTTCAGTTTGATTTAGTTCACTAGGTGATATGCATTTAAGGTCCCTCCATGTCTTTTCATGGCTTGATAGCTCATTTCTTCTTAGCCCTGAAAAATATCCCTTGTACCACAGTTTGTTTATCTACTCACCTACTTCAGGACATCTTGGTTGTTCCAGGTTTGGGCAATTATCAATACAGCTGCTATAAAGATCCGTCTGCAGGTTTTGCATAGAGAAATAAGTTTTCAACTGCTTTGGGTAAATATGATGGAGTGATTTCCCTCCCTTTTCTTGAGGATGGACCAGTTCTCCTTATATAATGGAAAACAGCATGGGTCAGCACCCCTCAGGCTGGGTTTTGTTGAGACAGAGTGTGGTCACGAGAATTCTTAGAGGGTCGCCGGCACGCCTGACTCACCCACGGGGGCAGTGGCCCCAGACACTAGTGTGTCGTCTGCCACTAGGTCCAGGTTACTCACTCGAATAGGCAAAGGAGCCCACACGTGAACACTCACACAGTAAAGACGACACCTAGTATTTTCCTTCTGGAAACCATGAACTGATTTGTTAGTGGAACGCAAAGAAGAGTGCTGTATGTAATGGCCATTGCCCAGGTCTCTGTAATTATACCAGTTTTTAAACGTTCACCTTAAAAATGGGAGTCGGGGACAGTCTCAGGGGAGAGGAATGGGCTTGATTCTTGAGCAAGCCAGAAGCAAAAGGCCAAGTGACTGACATTCTCGGCTCCCTCTGTCTTCCCCTTTAGCGTGTGACTGCGACAGGGAAGGTGCCCAGAACCCACCCTGTGACCAGGACACGGGCATGTGCCGCTGCCGGGAGGGGGTGAGCGGCCCAAGATGCGATCGCTGTGCCCGGGGTCACGGCCAGGAATTCCCTGCCTGTCTGCGGTGTCACGGCTGCTTTGATCCCTGGGACCACACGGTGTCTGCCCTCTCCAAAGCCGTGCAAGGGTTAATGAGGCTGGCTGCTGACACGCAAGATAAAAGAGAGCCCGTGCTGGTCTGCAAGGCCGACTTCAAAGGCCTCAGAGAGAACATGTCTGAAATAGAAAGGATTCTGAAACATCCTGTTTTCTCATCGGGGGAATTCTTAACCGTCAAGGATTATCAGGACTCTGTTCGGTAAGATTTGTGCTCCAGCAATAGATTGCAAGTTCCTGATCTGCCCTGACTCCTGTGGAGCTTTATAAAGCAGCCTTCAATTTCGAAATGTACCTATGTGGACGTTAGGGAAATAATTTTTCAGTCAGCGTCACCAGGCTGGTGATCATGACTGTCTGTCTCTTTCTTACCTACTTAGGATTACATGGGATCTTTCCAGATGCCATCGATTAGAACAAAAAGGCAATCATTAAGAGCTTGATTTTGGAAAGCCCAAACCCAGCAGAGCTGAAAGATACAAAATTAGAAAAAGGGTCGTTTATCATACAGATATTTTTTTTTTCCCAACCAGGCACTCAGGGAGATTTGCTAAATCTTCCCAAATTCTTCAGTTGTTTGGAAAAGCCTGTACATTAATGTGAAGTCATATAGCAAGTGTGAGAAGTTCCTCAAAATGCAGTCATTTTTATTATATGTTATATATACTTATATAACATTCATCAAACATTTCTGGAAATTATGTTGGTTGGTCTGGGCCAGGGCTCAGCAAACCACAGGCAAAATCCCACACACCACCTAGTTTTGTAAATCAGGCTTCACTGGTACAGCCACGCCCATTTATGTACCTGTCCTCTGTGGCTGCTTTCTCGGGACAAGACAGAGTGGAGTAGTTGTGACAGGACTATGGCCCCCAAGGCCTAAAATATTTACTATCTGACCCTTTATAGAAAAAGTTTGCCAACTGCTCTGGGCAAAAACCAGGATGCATGGGATACAGTCTTCCGTCCTTCTATGAGCACGTAGTCTACTGAGAAACCAAAGAGATTGTGATTATGTAGCAGAATATCCCCTGCCCACCCCCCAATCAAAGGTCCTGGATTAAGGAATAATTGAAGCTGCAGAGTTTTGTGTTATACAAAACACCAGTGTCAATATAAAGCCATTCATTTTCATCAGGCAAAAGTCGCAGAAACATGGTAGTAGCTTCAAAGTTACACAAGGAAGGAGATGGGAGTCCACTGCCATAGTTCTGGGGAAGGGCCATGCCCCTACAGGGCACAGCCCTGGCCAAGCCAGGCTGGCGACTAAAAGCAGGCACATCCACCGCCTTGTAAAGACTGTTGTCCTGCAGGATTTGGGCCCTGTGTCCCCAGGTCTTCCCACTTTTCAAGAGATGTCAGGCCTCCAGATTTTTATGGAAATGTCCCCACTTTAAAATATAGCTGGCTAATCCAATAATGCTCTTAAAAAGCACCAGACAGGCCAAATAAATGTGTCTGAGAATGAGCTTTGGCCCATGGACCACGGGTTTGTGGTTCTAGAATATGACGAACAAAGTGGAAAGAAAGCAGAATGAGCCAGTCCACAGTGGGCATTCTAAACAGAGACCATAGGACCCCAGATAGAGCAGAAAGACAGCAAGAGAAGCAGGAGTCCCAGGGCCAGGCCTGAAGTGATGAGGAAAGCAGTGAGTACTGGGCCTCTTCTGCCAGAAACCAGCATGCCTGTCCCCTCCTGGTCCAGCTGCTGAGCTCCTGTTCCTCCTTAGCAACCACCAAAACACCACCTCCTCCCTGACACCTTCCATGACCTCCTCAGAAAAAGACATGTCCTTCCTTCTCCATCTTCCCCCCTCCCTGTGCTTGGGAGGGTCATTGCCTCACTGAGGGACCCCTGAGGACAGAGGCTACCTTCTCCAGGCTTAGTTCAGTCATGTAACAAATGTTTGCTGGGTAAATTACCAATGAAAGGGGAGGTGGAGGGCAGGGAAACCAGGATATCAAGGGTACAGATTCCGTGACTGAAATCCACTTATTGCTGTGTGGCCTTGGGCAAGTTATTTAACTCCTCCAGGCATCTGTTTCTTCATCCAAAAGGGGGATCGAGTCTCTATTTCATAGGTTTCTTGTGAGAATTACTCAGACAAGGCTCTCAGCATGGTGTCTGGTGCATTGTAGGGCTTCGAGAGTACCAATTATAATAACAGTAACTACTATCATTGTTATTATTATTATTAACCTGATGAATTATAGTCCTGACAGTTGGCGCCAGAAGGAAAAGTCTATAGATTAGAAGGGAGAGTTAGAGTAGAAAATGCTAGGAAGCATTAGTTAATGTTTTGCATTTCTGCCAAGATAAATTAGTCCCATAGATTCATATTGTAATTTTCCTCAACTGTACTCTTCACGATTTGTATCGAATTTCCTTATCATGAGGGATATTACTAATTATTTCCTTGAACCCACTGTGGGTGCTGAACCCAGCAAATTGAAGCGGGACAGAGATAGGCATCATGGAGAAGAAGGTGAGGAGAATGAACACACCCCAGGCCTGGGTGCTCTCACCAACAAGGAAACCTCCTTGTCACTCATGGGAATGACAAGTTAAGACCCTGTACAGCAGTGGCACTAGAAGGATCCTTGCTGCAAGCAGATTTATTCTCAATAAAGAACTGGTTTTTACCCTGGGCTGGGTGAGGACTTCCGTGTTAAAAGCTGAATATAGGTTGGATCTCATGGATTTAAATGAACAGTGTCTGAATGTGTGTTTTTGAAAACCCAAAGCAAAGGGAGACAGAAAGAGTCTAAATAGTTGAAATTGAAAGATTCAAAGCCTTTCTTCCACTAGACCTTTTATGCGGATTGTATTTTAAGTGAGTGCTAAAATATTCCAGGAAGCTGAATTAACAAGAAAGAGAGGAACCATAAACAGAACTATAAACTGTCAAACACAACATCAAGGAAGAAGGATCCATTCTAATTATGAGGGTGCCTGATCACAAGGGCAATATTGGTGTGTTTCTTTCACTCATCTATCAACAGGAATACAAGCTTTGCTACATTTACTCTCTTTTCCCTCCAGGGAACAAATCATGCAGCTAAGTGTGCAACTGAAAGCAGTACATGAGTTTCTAGATCTGAAAGAAAGGATAGGAAGAATGGGGAATGAAGCAGACCTCTTACGTGAAGATCTTCAGCGAGAAATCAATTTGCGCTCCTGTGCCCGTAATGCAAGCATCATGGGTAAGAGAGAAAATGCACTTGGATGGTCCGTTGATGGACAGAGGTTGCTGCCATCCATCGTTTATTCCATTAGCGAGGTACCTTGTGCTCATTGCCACAGAGCTGAGCACTTTAGGCCCTGAAAACACACCCATTAAAGGTATTATTTGTACATGAATATTTCAACTTTTTAAACAGGGCAGAGCTTGGGGAGTGTCTGTTGAAAATAATGAATACAGCAAACCGTCGGATACTAAACAGATACTGACACCCAGAGTACTACCCTAATGCCAAAGCATGCAAGGGGTCTTGTGTAACTGGCTTCGGACTGGGCCCATGATGTTCCAAAACCAACTTGTCCCTCCGCGGAATGATGCCCAGAAAGGTCCCTGCCTTGGCTCTCCCCTCAGAGTCAAAGAAACAAACAGGGACACTCGGAGAAAGGACATCCGACCATTGCTGTCTAGGTTGCCACTTCAGAATGGTTCACAGCATGAAAGATTTGGACCGCCAACTCGAGCACGGGGACAGAATTCTTCCTGGGTTTACTGGGAAAGGCTCTAGGAAGTAGGTGACATTTGACTTGGACTTCACAAAATGAGGATAAAATTTGCCAGATAAATAAAGGCCAAAATCATCCCAAGCAATAGGAAGGTGTGGTTGTTTCATGCCCGACTTCTGGTTGCGTAGGGAGTAAAGATCAGGACCCTGGGCCTCTGGTTCCTAAAATACGGAGTTACTGTTGAAAGTCCTGCAACACTATCATTTGCAGTAAAACGAGCCGTATTACCTTCATGAATTTGTATTTTACTAAAAATATGGAAAATATAAAGCAGTGCTGAAGAACATAGTTTCCAGAATCAAACTGCCCAGCTTGAAATCTTGACTTGATCCCTTGCTGTCCGTGAGACCTCAGGCAAATAACTTAACTCCTGAGAGCCTTGTTTTCTCACTTGTAAAATGGGGGTGATCATGCTAACACGCACCTCGTGGTGTTTTGTGAAGATTCAGGAAGAAAACTGACAAGAAGGGCAGGCACAGAGAAAGCACTGCACAATTGTGACCTGTTGTCATCAGCCTCCACATCACAAGTCAGCACACCATGGTCCACCTGCCGCTTTTACCTGGAGCCGGTTTTTTTTAAAGGGGTTTCACTAGGAGACAGACTCACCCATTCGTTGACATTGCTTGCAGCTGCTCTCACTCTCCAGAGTTGAGAAGCTGTGCTGCTGGATCCGCTGTGGCCGGCAAGCCTAGAACATTTATTCTCTGGCCCTTTCCAGAACAAATTTGTCAACCCCTGCTGCTCCATCTGGTTAGGTAAGCTTGGCTGGTGTGTCGCGTTAGGGTTCGTACAGGTAGTCGTCATTAATACCAATGAATACATAATTAATACATCCGTGGAACACTTTACAGAGCATTCTCGTATTATTTCACTTCGTCCTCACAAATTACAGAGAAGCAAACACAGTCTAAGAGATTAACTGGTTTGCTCGAGGACTTAGGCAGACAGTAAAGGGGAAAGCCAACACTCAAACCCATGTCTGCAGACTTAAATCTCAAGGCTCTGTACCTATTATATTGATATCTGTTTCACTCCGGTCCTTCCCCATTAAGTGTAAATTCAACGAAGAGGATAGTGAATTTTTGTATTGGTCATTGAGACCAAGACATTGGACAAACTGTGGGATGATTGTCTTGATAACCAATATATAATTTCATTTGTTCTCACAAAACTTACCTTACCTCAATTTGCATTAATGTAGATTACTCAGAGAACATCAAGAAGCATTATCAGAGATCATCATCTGCTGAAAAGAAAAGTAGTGAAACCACTTCTATCATAAAAAACTCTGAAAAAACCAGGAATGACTTACTTACTATCTTTGATATGCTAACCTCAAAACAAAACTTGTCATTGGAAAAATTAAAGCAAATTACAGTACCAGATATCCAAATACTGAATGAAAAGGTAAATATTCACGATGGTGTAGTAAAAGTATTTGTGATTTCTCCTTGGTATACAAATCTCTTCAATTATATTTCCTGCCTTGCATTTTAATTTTTTATTTATACTTTATAAATGTGCAAATACCATAATATATATAGAGAGATATGCTCTATTATATAAGATATCAATAATATAAAATACTTCTATTTTATTTTTTTTATTTTCCAAGTCAAAGTTCGAGAAAATTCATAGTAAGACTGTGGCTTGATTTTATTATCTTACATTTATTTATATAATTTGCTATTTCCACAATGGTACAGATTATAGACATTCACTCCTTTCGCTTTCTTATAAATAAAAGGTAATTTTTATTTAAAAAGGTGTCTGCCTTTGGCTCAGGTCATGATCCCAGGGTCCTGGGGTCGAGCCCCGCATTGGGCTCCCTGCTCAGGGGGAAGCCTGCTTCTCCCTCTCCAGTTCCCCCTGCTTGTGTTCCCTCTCTCACTGTGTCGCTCTCTGTCAAAGAAATAAAATCTTTTAAAAAAAATTAAAAAATGAAATTAACACGCAAGAAATGCTAGATATTTGACTGTTTTCTCCAAAAACTCTAAGCGTAAAAATGGCATCAATTGACACAACACTGACAACAAAAAATTTAGGTATTTAGTTACCTAGAAACATTTCACGGGGCTGCATCCATGCGCTAAGCATGAACCACTGTTGAAGAAACACATATGCATAGAGCAGTGCTTTGCCTCAGTGAACCTGGATGGCATTAGCAAAACTCTGCCCACACGTCACTTTTCAACATGAATCCTTTCTGCTGTGAGGTGTGTGGAGAACCAGGGGACATGCTGTGCGTGCTCTTGTCCGGTGATGGCCCCAGCTGTCGTGGCCCCCTGCCCCTCTCGAGTGATGCCCTCCAGCAAGCTCAGGAAGCAGAGTCTGTGATTCATAATTTGAGCGACCAGGTTCAGGGTTGGAAGCTCCAGGTAAATATGTCTTCTCTTCTTTTATCTGTAAAGCTGTAACAATAGGAAGAAAAAAGCAAACTGAAATGTTTAAAACTGCCATTTAGCTTTGAGGCAAAAGGACAGATTCTAGATATTAGGTGTTCTTATGCTTGGAAACATAGGATTAAAAATACAGATGTGGATGTAAATGTACATTTAGAAGTACATGTGAATATAGACATTTTCTATTGTATATGTATCACATATATGTGTGTAAATGTATATTTGTGTGTGTGTGCGTGGAAAGAGAGAGAGAGGAGAAAGAAATCAAAGTTTGTGTTTGTAGGACATAGACTCATGTAGATGTTTCTTTTATAGCAAACACTACATAGAAATGGGAGACTATTAGCCTTAAAGCTTTGAAAACTTTAGATCTCTCAAAGTAAAGACTAATTTGTACAAATTCAAGAGTATATTTGAAATTCTACTCAATATACAAATTCTAATGTTAAAATTTAATTTAATGTTAGAAAATATTTTAATAAGAATACACCCTTAGGTCTTCTACTCCTTCCTGTGTTTTTGGACATGATACAGTGGTTTTAATATTTAAGTACCTGATGATTAAGTCTCTAATAACTTGAAATGTTTTCATTTATTTTTCTGATCATGTTGATAAATGAGAATAATTTTTAATTGCCTAGTTTTCCTTAGGGTTTTTTTTTTTGTGAATACATTATGTATTCACCTGGAAATGATGAATACAATTTTAGGTATTCTGTGAATACACTGGATTCATCTTGTATACAAGATGATGATGTGTGCCCTAGTTTGCTCCATTTTTGACAATATACATAGAGTCTTTGATGAAGAAGAAAAATCTCTTAAAAAGCTAAATTTCTTTACCAATAATACGAGCACCAGGTATTATATAAGACTGATGAATCACAGGCCTATACCTCTGAAACCATTAATACATTATATGTTAATTAATTGAATTTAAGTAAAAATTATTTAAATGAAAATATATCTACACACAAAAAATATGTTAAATATTATAGCAGGCAGCATTCCTGTTTGTAAGCAACAGAAACCAACTCCTGAAAAAAACAGTCTCAGAATCAACAGGAGGATAGAAGGCCAAGCTTGGGAATGGGCTGAGAACCACAGCTAAGATATGGTGCATATCTCAGGCACACACACACACACACACACACACGTGCACACATGAGCTTGCATGCACATGGACACACACAGAACAGCAGTTTCCTCCTTGAGCCTCACCCACATGAGCCTGAGCCCCAGCTGGTCCCAAGCCCTTGCTCCACATGCTCCCAAATCCAAGTTCTGGTGCAAGCCTCTGATTAGCCCAGCGGGTGGATATCCCTATACATCCTGAATGTTGAAAATTTTTATTTACCTTGTCATAATTCTGCATTGCCACCTAGTTTTCACTTGTATGTTATTCTTCCTTCTTTGAACAAATATTCATTGAGTGCCTACTATGTGCAAGACATTTATCTAGATGTTGGGGACCCAGCGGTGAACATAACAAAGACAAATCCTGGTCCTGCATCCTGGTGGTTAAAACAATCCTGACTTGTTCAACATAATTTTAAACGACTACACCTTACTGCCCCTTCTCAAAAAAAACCCAGAAACCTCACACCATTTAAAGAAGCCCTGTGTTAAGCTTTTACTTTAAAAAAAAAAAAAAAAGTCCCTGACGTATGTTCTAGCAGAATTTGGCTTCATCAGCACGTAAATGAACAACTGGGAAGGGTAGGGGTGGGGTTTTTCATGTTGATAAAATGGTGTGCTATTTCCCTCTTGATTAGATGAGGGGAAGAGCGCCAGAAAAGATTGTAAGAGAATTCTCAGGAGCCAGTGGTGACAGAGGATGGATTGCAGAGAGATGTTTTAAGAGTGAAGTAATTTAGCAATCTCTTTCTCTCTGAATATAGCATCGACTAATCAACACAGATTTCATCCCTATAATTTTGTGTTTTCCTGTCCAGAGTATTTATTTCTGGAATTCTCATTTTACTTCCATGTGTTCTTACTTACTGCTAACCATTTTATTCTTTTTTTAATTGGGAGAGATATAATTAACATAGAACATTTTATTAGTTTCAGGCATACATAATTTGGCAGATGTATATATTGCAAAATGATTAGCACAAGAAGTTTGGTTAACATCCATCACCTCACCTAGTTATATTTTTTTGTCATGGGAACTTTGAAGATCTCTCTCAGCAAGTGCTCACCACTTTAAGGTTTTCAAAGTTCTAGAAAATTAAGGGACAACTCTCCAAAAAATGAAGATAAATATTTTTAATCATGTAAATATTTCTTTTTCGTTTCATCATTTGCCAATGAGTGCAATTAAATCCTTTTCTACAAAATCCGTATGGCTCACATTAAGCTGGCTCCTTTTGTGGGGAAATAAAGGGAGATTTTTTTTTTTTCCTAATTGTGTCTGATCCTAATTAGCCCTACTTCTGTCACAATTAATTTATTCCATACAGCTCAACTTGGTGATATAACCCTATTGCTTTCTGGGGTTTTTTTTTTATTTTTTTTCTTTTCTCTAATTTGTTAGAATCTCAAGAAAAGCCCAGGAATTTTCTCAAATCACATAATTAAGAATTTGCACTTCTAGAGGGCAAGTTTTGGATCTATCATTCCTCCACCAAGTGTACAAGATGTTTGGAATTTATCTTTGTAGCTTGCTCCGAGTTCAAACTCGTTTATTAAAAGGAGGAATGCTTTCTTTTTAGCTTTCAGAAAAAGTACATTATTTGAATTTGAGGAATGTCAAGAAGAGTAATTATTTTAACTTACATAAAAGAAAATGCTCTTAACTTATTAAACATAATGACCACTCTACGTAGTCCCAAGTAATTTGCTGATGTGATAGGAATGCTAAAGTCTCATTAAAACAGAATTTGTGTTTTACATTTGTATAAGGAAAAGTCATTAGCACTAGGTCAAAACTGTTTTCAAATAATACTTTTGATCACTAATAAAGGTTTTAAAAGAGGCCGCCTGGGTGGCTCAGATGGTTAAGCGTCTGCCTTCGGCTCAGGTCATGATCCCAGGGTCCTGAGATCGAGTCCCGCATCGGGCTCCCTGCTAGGCGGGGAGCCTGTTTCTCTCTCTGCCTCTGCCTCTCTCTCTCTCTCTCTCTCTCTCTCTCTGACTCCCATGAATAAATAAATAAAACATTTAAAAAAAAGGTTTTAAAAGATAAAGTCACATTATTTTTTTAAAGATTTTATTTTTTAAGTAATCTCTACACCCAACGTGGGGCTCAAACTCACAACCCTGAGACCAAGAGTCACCTGCTGCACCGACTGAGCCAGCCAGGTGCCACAAGATAAATTCACATTAAGCAAAAATGATAATGAAAACAAATAGTATCACCTCGTAAATGAATCCCTTAAAATGATCTTTTAATTCTCTATAGTCCTATTTTGTTTTTAGTGAGTTTCATTTGGTCCAGCTAAGTAATTAAACATCACACAATGTGCCTCATTGTGTTTTTTCCTCATTGTTATTTTTTTCTTATTCCAGCTCAAAAATGTAAGTAAACTGGCAGAAGTCTCCAAAAACAATGCCTTACAGCTAAGTGAGAAACTGAGGAATATGAAAAATCAAAGTGAATCTGAAGAAGAGAAGATGAGTCTTTTAATCAAAAAGCTGAAAACGTTTTTGTCAGGTAATTAGAAAAATATAATGGAACTAGTTTTGTTTTCTTTTTTTTTAAGTATACTCAAACAGCATAACCAATTTCAAATTACATAAGTGGAAATGAAATGCCTAAATCAGAAACATGATGTACCCCTTGATTTAAGATGTCTTGATGAAAATAATCCCCAAAGATTAACTCTGTACCAAAATATTATATATGTGTGTGTGTATATATGGCTATCTGTATAAGATAAATTTAGTAAAAAGTCCTAGAATTTAGTTAAAATTTCAAACAAGTGAACTTGGTGCTTAAAGTTATGTGGGGTTTTTTTTTTTTAAGAAAAAAGTCTAACATGATGATTCTATCAGATTTCCTAATGTTATGATTCCACGATTTTCTCTGCTGACAGACTGTGTGAGATCAAGGCATGCCAGATTTTGGTTAGTATACCAAATACTATAGTGAGGGGGTATCTAAAATATCGGTTATTAACTATTATGGAATATTTTCCAAGTTTCATATTGGTTCTCTGTGATTGACCGAAAGGTACAATTTGATCCATCTATTATTATAATTATGATGTTATTATCCCTCATTATACCTTATTATGGGAGAAGTTCACTTTGATTTTATTTTTTAGAAGTTTATTTTAAACTACAGAGAATTATTAGTTGAAGATAAAAATCAAGTAGTACAGCTGGAAATTGACCTGAAACCTCACTCTTGGCAAATAACGCAGCTTGGGTACAACATTATATGGAATTAATCTTAAGAGGCTTTCTTCTCCATCACCGTCTTCCAGATTCAGTAACTTAATACTCCTCACATGAATCAGCTGACAATTGGGATGTCTGTTACCATCTTTGCAAACACTTTGTGAACCTGTTTAATATTTGTAAGAGACCCCTATGGCCAATTGTTTTTCCCACCTCTATATCTCTAGATACTGTATGAACAGTTCTAGTCTTGATTTTCAAAATAAGAACAAAATGAGGCAGTACAAATAACCAATAAAAATGACCAAAATAATCAGTAAAAATGAATGAGGTGGGATCCATCTACTGGACGTTTTGTTTGTTCAAAAGCCAATTTTCAGTGAGTTAGTATTGATTAGACACAGGTCCAGGAACTGGTTGGATTAAGGAACACCTTAGCTATTTCTGCGGATACAGGTCAATTCAGGCACCAAAACCAAACCAAAACCAAACCAAAACCAAACTGTTAGACCAGTTGTGCGAAACGGCGCGACACACTTCTGGGCCTCAGTGATGGCTCAGAAGGCAAGTTCTACTGCTTTCCACCTCATTCACTGGGTCATAGAGCCTTTTCCCTTACTGGTCTCATTTCTCATTGCTGCTGAATACATCTCTAATAAAAAAGTTTACTTTAATGACCCCAAGGAGTTAAAAAAAAAAAACAACCCAAAACTGTGTCCATTATTACAACAAAAATTAGACTAGGCAAAGGGAAAAATCCTATTCCATAAAAGAAATTTTATGGGCCCCAAGATCCTTGGCCACCAGGAAGCAGTACCCTTCACTCACCAATTTCTTTTCCTCTATCCTTTCCATAAAGCCCAAATAAAAGTATTATTAAATTGTATGGTGGCTACACTACTCCACTCTTCTTGACCATCATAATATTTTCCCTGGGGTCTGAACTCCCCATTAACAAAGTTATGTGTCACTTCTCCTGAAAGTCCCATAGAAAAATTTTGAATTTACGATCTCATAACAAAGGCCAATAAATGTTCAATGACAAATATGTGGCTAAATTAAATTCACTTTTTATTAGAACCTTTTTTATAAAATGAAATACCATTTCTTTCAAGAGCCAGCTTCCAAGAACAGTACATTTTGTTTCAAGTATGATTTTGATTTACTCACAAAAAATCTTGTTACTTTCTTTTTCAAAAACATGACAGGCAGTAAAATACTCCTTTTATTTTAAACAAAACAGAGCGAAAATGATCACCAAAAGGATGTATACTCATGTCATGTCCGTCAAATGCTAAAAGGTGTTTGTGGTGCCCACCGCCTCCTGAAGAAGCCAAGGTCCTTGGCCTCACATTTAGAGGCTCCCGTGCTCTGCTCCCAGCCTTTCGGGATTTGCACCCCCTTGCATTTAGACTCGACTCTCTCACCAACGCTGATCCGAGGACTGCTTCGTGCTGCACCCAAGCTTTGGCATCTGTGGGTCTCTCAATTTAGAATGCCTTTACCCTGCCTTCATGCCACATTTCCATGGGTATAACCTCTGCTGTCCTCCAGGCTCAGTTTATGTGCCTTTTTGAGGTTCTTCCTGAAATATTTCTTCCTCCCTCTGGATCCCATATCATTTCGTCTTCTATTTATGATTTCTGTTCTCATGTGAGCAGTATTCATATGGAATGGCTTATATTCCCCCCCACTGGATGGTCAGCCCTCCCACTGCCCACACAGGCTTTAGCATTATTCCTCAGTAAGGAGCCAGAGAGTCACAGAGTGTTAGCACCCCGGACCCTAACAGTCCATCTTCCGCTTCAGTTTTCAGGAAGGCCGATTTTATTTTCCTGAAAAGCAGGGCATGGGTGTATTTAACAATTTCCTGATAACACATTATTCATCCGGTACTTTACTCTCTATTGTCAAGTTCCCTTCTCAAAATAGGACTTTGAGTGGTAGCGTCGGGTAGAGTGGCCCCGTTATACAGATGAGCAACAACTGTGAGCGTTTTTGATGTCACAGAGGGTTAGAATCAAGTTTTGTTGAGTCCAAACCTGGTGCTGAGTCCAATGTCTCATTCATTGTATTCAAATCTTCGTAACAGGCATCTAACCATTTTAATTGCTTTTTGACTTAACTGGTTCTTAGGAGGACGTTTCGCAGAACATATACAATATTCCAAGTCTGTAGTTTTTCAGTTTTCCACCAAGCATTTGTGCAGCGTGTATTCAACACTACACGAACAGTGTTTCTTTCAGAGAGAAGGGAAAACCGAGGTTGAAGAAGAATCTACGGACGTAGACAGTCTAATCCCGCTGTCCTAGGGACACATAATCGGTTGCACGTACATTTGACTTAGAGTTCGTTGTGGTTGTATTTACAAGATACAGTGTTTACTAAGGAGACACAATGACCTAAAACCACCTTCTTATTTAAGAGGAAAACGTGCCTCCGGAGGACATACAGAAGGTTGCAAATCGCGTACTTGACATCCACCTACCAATGACATCGCAGAATTTAACCCATGAACTTGACAAAATATGGAAGCTGCTGCAGATCTATGAGGGCTACGGAACAGACGGGGACAGGCTACAGAAAGCAGCAGAGGAAGCCCAAAGGGTTTTGGTGAAAACAAAAGTTGCTGAGTAAGTACAGTATTAATATTCTCATCTTGCTCGCCCAGGCCAACTCCTAAAAGGCCATCTGAAAAATATCTGGGTGAGGAGCTATTTAATGTTTGAATGAAATTACCCTCCAGTAGCTCAGTGCCCAGGGTGAGGGCTAAGCTATTTGCAGGAGCCTCAGGAAGCTGGGGGATTGGGAGGCAGGGGGCAGGAATGCTTGTTTCCCATTCGCTATAGACTTGGAATGCCTTTCCAGTGACCTGTTACTCTTTAAACCAATCAGTGCCATATACTAGCTCTATGCCAATATCTTAACAAGTGGTGGGAATATCGGTGTCTTTTCCCTTTCTTGCTGACCTATGTCTGGTACTTTCTAAATGTACCATAATAGACAGTACTTTGAAGATCTAAATTTTTTTAAGAAAGACTACACTAATGGGGCGCCTGGGTGCCTCAGTCGTTAGGCGTCTGCCTTCGGCTCAGGTCATGATCCCAGGGTCCTGGGATCGAGTCCCACATTGGGCTCCCTGTTCAGCGGGAAGCCTGCTTCTCCCTCTGACCCTCCCCCCTCTTGTGCTCTCTCACTGTCTCTCTCAAATAAATGAATAAGATCTTTGAGAAAAAAAAAAGACTACACTAAAAGGATATGATGGTGAGGAGTAGAAGAAACGAACACTAGTGCCCCAGGAATAACACAGGAGTAAAACTATAGATATGTGGGTGCCTGGGTGGCTCAGATGGTTAAGCGTCTGCCTTCGGCTCAGGTCATGATCCCGGAGTCCCGGGATTGAGTGCCGCATCGGGCTCCCTGCTGCTTGGGAGCCTGCTTCTCCCTCTGTCTCTCATGAATAAATAAAAAATAAAATCTTAAAAAAAAAAACTATCGATATGATACACAGAGTTCCTTAACTCGTGCTTCCTTTTGCCCTTGTCGACTTAGCCAAGCAAATGGGAAGAGGCATGTTGGTGTTTTTAGGAGCATGGGGTGCTGCGGGTCAGTGTTGTGGGCTCAGTTGGATGGTGGCAACACCATCATGTCAGGACGCCCAGCAGTTGAGACCTGAGCTTTCTGCCGTCTCCCCAGCCACTTGTATAAATGAAGTGCACCGACTCCCCTGTAGGCCCAACCCCTTCCGGTTTTAATACTTAACAACCAGGAAGAATAAGAAACTGCTGTACGATCACACAGCTGTCAAAAATGATGCTGAGGAAGGATTCTTTATAACATGCAGGGAATTCTTCGAGTGTAATGTTAATGCTTTAAAAAAAAAAAAGGTAACAGATTATATATAGAAGAGGATCTCCAACATGGAAAGAAAAAAATTTGTAGGACAAAGATGCTAGAATATGCTGGTGTCTTAAAAAGATTAGTGGTAAATTTTTCCCTTCCTGATATGTTTTTTTCTCTTTTTGTGTGTTGCTGCCCCCTCCTCTCCTTCCTCTGTCTTCTCCTCTTCCTTCTCTTCTTCTTCCTCTTCTATTTTTAGGTATTTTAGGTATTTTCCCAATTTACTCTAAAAGCAGTTACATTGAAAATTTAAAGGAAAAGAATAAATACAAAGATATCAGGGGGTGTTATGAGAAGGGAAGGCTCCTGAACCCCTTCTGTAACTGTAGGGAAAGAAGTAAAGAAAGGGGAGCCTACTTCTTATATGGTTCAACCATAGGATATTCTGGAAAAGGCAAAACCGTGGAGTCAGTAAAAAAGATCAGTAGTTGCCCGGGGTTGAGGGGAGGGATGAATAGGTGGAGCAGAGAGAACTTTTAGGACAGTAAAAATACTCTGTGTGATTCTAGAATGATGAACACATGTCATTATACCTTTGTCCCAACTCACCAAGTGAACAACATCAAGAGTGAACCCTAATGTACACTCTGGACTTTGGTGTCTATGATGTGTTGATGTAGATTCATCCTCTGGCAGGGATGTTGATAACTGGGGAGGCCGTGCGTGTGTGGACACAGCGGGTATAGGGAACTCTCTGCACCTTCTGCTCATTTTTGCTATGAATCTAAAACAGCTCTTTAAAAAAAATAGGCTTTTTAAAAAGTGAGAGAGAGACTCCACTGGGAGGAGAAGTAGTGTTGTGTGGGGCAGGGCTGTTTTGCAATTTAGCTAGTTTTGCTCTTCCGCACACATTTCTAATGCTGCTTCTGCAAAGGTCTATCTGATAGTTCACTCACTTGGGTACATTATTCCAAAGGTGGTTTTGAGCCCACAGATCCAAGTATCTGGTGAGTGTTGACTTGAGGTGAGCTTATTTCTGTAAAATAGACAATCACTTGGAATGCTTGTGATTTTAACCTCTGATGGGGCCCCTGGCAGCTAGAATGTCAGTGGAGCTTAAATAAACCTGAATAAACACGGCCTGGAAACGGAGGGCTTTTAGTTCTCTTTGCTGTCTGTGGGGCCCCTTAACTCTCCCACCCCCGCTCCGGCGAGGATTTAGAGTGTGGCTGAAGTGGGAGAAATTAAGGAACTGAAATTGGCCGAGGACTGTTATTTTGTTCAAAGCTTGCCAGTGACGGTCCTCAAGCCTCTCTGGTTAGGGCAAATTAAGAATAAATAAGACCTGTATCTTTGATTTCCTTAACTGGCGAAATCTGAATCTACTTGATATGCATATATATGTGTTGTTATTGGCATTTCAACCTGCCTATTTCTCAAAATAAAGATTTCCGCACTTGGCCTTGCTTAAGAGCAATTTAAATTTACTTTATAAATAATTCAGCCAAGTTTTTCGTAGAGTCGAATGGACTCCCAAGGTGAAACAAATGAATAATTGTGTATTTATCTAATCTGACATGTTAATATCCTACCTTAGAAAAGCAGCAAATGTTCTATTAAATCTTGACAAAACGCTGAATAAATTGCAACAAGTTCAAGTCACCCAAGGATGGGTAAATTCTACCATCACACAGCTGACGGTGGAGATAACGAAAATTAAAAAGAACATCCTGCAGGTATTTATCTTCTTGGAAACTAACCTGAAAAAGATTTTGAATGTGGAGACAGCCTGGTTTTGATGTGTGCCAATGTCATGCTTGCCTGACCTGCCTGATGGGATGATTACAGGATAAAATGAAACGGTGGTGCTATGATGCATTTAATTGATGTTCTATAGAGTTCTCACGGCATCACTTCATCATTGCCGACCCCTCCTGGGGGATGAAGCAGGTGCTACCCACCAGCTTGTAAATGAGGAAACTGAGACTCAGGGAGGTTAAGTGACTTGCCTACGGTCACACAGCTAATTAAAGGTAGATTTGAGGCGGGAGTTTATCCCTTCTGATTCTAGGGAAAGTAATAGACTTGTTAAAGCTCACAAGGCAAAGAAATAAAGTTCATTGTTGCCAGGTTTTTTTGTAACTGCCAGGTTTGGCATGAAATCTCATCAGAGTATCTTAGAACTAAAAGGATATCTTACCCAAAAGAAAGTGTTCCATCCAGAGCTCGGTGGGAGCCCGGCCATGGTTTAACCCCCATAATGGATCCGGGAGAGGAAGTCTGGCAGCTGGAGGACAGGACAGGACCTAGTCCCAAGCCGTGTGAAGTGTCTTCCTCCAAGGCTCCATCCTCCAGTCCATCCCCTTCCCCATAGAACGCCAGCTCCCCAGTCTCTGTTCTTCAGCCAGGTTGTACAGATCTAAATGCACGACGCATTTTGAAAAGAAAAGCAGAAAGTGATAGAACAGGAAGTAGTGCACCAGGAAATAAAAAGCTTAGATGTGAACAGCTTTCAAATATAGGGTAGCAAAAAAAAACCAAAGAAGGCCTCTAGGTTTTCCCCTTCAAGGCATATACGCTAGAACGGGGGATGGCCAAATACAGCGCGTGGGCCAAATGGGCACACTGTTTTGTTTTGTTTTTAATCTAAAATCACAAAAAGTTTTATTGGAATCCAGCCACGTATTGTCTGTGGCTGCTTTTGTGCCACAGTGGCACAGAGTTGAGTGGTTGCAATAAAGACTTTATGGGCCACGGAGTATAAAACATTTCCTGTCTGGTCCTTTACAGAAAATGTCTGTAGATTTGTGCTCTAGAAAAAATACGTCCAAGGGCACAAGAAGGTGTTTTTTTTGTTTTGTTTTGTTTTGTTTTACAAATATGGTAGACCAGGGCTCTTACGGAACCCTCCTAGTAGAAAAAAACCCCAAATGTTGGCTGGGATATTTTTTAAAAATTGTAATACATAGCTGAATTAATAAGACATGGAGGAAATCTTCAGAGGCCAACAGTGACGGGGAAGTATGAATCCAGAGAGGTAATAAAGGATGAACCTGATGGCAGGCAGAGGGTATCCGCCAATCGCTGGTGTAGGAGAGCTGTTGGCTTTAATGCTCGCCATGCATAAGAGACAGAAAACAAAGCCCACACAAGGAGTGAATATGACCCCTGCATGGAAAGGCAAAATCCTCAGTGAAGTGTTCAGCTACTACTATCTACTACTGCATGCCCACCACACGCATGCATGTGCACAAAACTACACACACACACACACACACACATGCACACACGGAGGGGCAGTGCCAGTAAAGACTCTTCCTGTGGGGAAGGAAGGTCTTCACAAAGAATTGCTAACCATAAGCTGGCTCTTACACGAGTTCAAGGTTAGAATTCACACTACCCGTATGGCCCTGACAACCCAAGCTAAAAAATGTCACTTAAAGTGGATGTGGGCTGAGAGTGCCCTCAGATGCCTGACAGAGGCCAGCAGAAATCCCCTCCCAAGGAATGCACCTTAAAAAGCTTCAAAAATGTCTCTCAAAACCCATAAAAGAACAAATTGCCTCAAGCAAGAGGCACCAGAACGAGTAAACAAGAGACTGCGGATATGTCGGTTACTGGACGTAGAAATACAAAATCAGAATGTTCGTTATGCTTACAAAAATCAAAAAAGGTATAAAAGTATGACCCAAGAACAAGATATACGAGATAACAGATGATTAGTCAGATTTGACTCTAGATGGGACAAATGGAGCCACAGGAATAAGAAACAAATATAATATGTTCATTATTGTTTGTAAGGAGGAAAAATGAGAAGCCACCTGCATCAGCTGGAGAATAAAAATATAAATTGTATGTTCAAACAATGCAATGCTTTAAATTGCTAAAACTGAATAAACAAGAGCTATGCAAATTCGTCAGGAAGAACTGTACAAGCATAATTTTGAATTAAAATTCAAGTTGCAGAAATACGCAGTAGCATATATTTGTATAAAGTTAAAAAAATACTGCATATGTTAGACATACTGCATAGGATATAGGAAAAAGCGTGTAGAAGTACGTGGAATGACAAATATTAGATTCAGGATAGTGGTTACCTTTATGGGGAGGGAGCGGGTGTGAGGAGAGCCTTAGCTGAGGTGCTTTATTCTTAAACTGGCCGCTGAGAGCATGGATACATGTCATAGTTGCTTTTATAACCATGTGGACGTCTGAAATATTTATTACAACGTTGTTTTTAATGGAACCGAAAAAATTGAAGGAATGATTCACTTTCCCTTCCCACCTAGCTTATTTTCTGAGGGGTAATTATATCATTTGTTTTCTTGTTTGTTACATAAAGAGACCTTCTCCTCTCTGCTCTTTAAATCAACAACAGGCTGAAAATGGAGCCAAGGACACTAAGAATGAGCTGGACTTAGCAAAGCAGCAGTCAGTGCTGGAGGACGGGCTTTCCCGGCTGCAGACCAAGTTGCAAAGGAATCGAGAGCAAGCCACCCATGTGACAGCTCAGGCCGCATTGGCCCAACACCAGGCTGGGGGCCTTGAGCAGGTCATTAGCCCCACCAGTGCCACCAAGAGCAGACAGACAGAGCCTCTTTGAAGGATAATGCTTTAGCCTCAGCTCCTTGTGCCGTTTATCAGCGGTTCCCATTAGTGCTGGACCGTGCTCAGTGGCATGCGGTAGTAGGGATCCCCGATAGACATGAAGCCTCTTCTGTAGTGGAGGACTGTCTCCAGGGAAGACAGAAGTCCTTTGACCAAATTAGGATGGGGTGTTTCCTCCCCGAATCTCCTCTTCCTAGGACTACTGGCAGTGTCCTCGTCAAATGTTTCCTTCCTTCCAAACGTTCACACCCAAATCTTGGGTGTATTTACCCTTTACTCTAATACAATCACATAACCTATCATGAAAACAAAGAAGTGAAAGTCACCTGCCAAAGAGAACAGGTCAAGTTAAAAAAGTCAGAGTGAGTTAATTAAACAGTTGTGGAAAATACCCTATTCATCTAGGTTGCTGAAAGAAACTATCAACTCATTTTCTCAGCAGGATATCTCTGGTTGGTTGCATTAATAGAGTCGCTTACACACAAGAAAAATGTGAAAGTGTTTTTACAATTGGTCCATTCTCTTGCTTTTCATTCCTGATGTGCTGGCTAATTTCCCACAGACTTGGGAGTTGAGCACATTTTCTATGGAAGGGAGGTTGGGAGAGGTACTTCTGGTCAATCCTATCCCCATTTCCCTTCCTGGGCTTCACCTAGCTGTTCCACATTCTAGACTGTCAGCCACCCAGGCTGACCCCCCAGGTTTCCATTCTAATGCCGAGGGAGCTCTTCATGCTAACACGTGTACTTCCCTTCCCGCCTCACGGCTCTGTTACCTTCTTGCCCGCCAAAAAATGCATCGCTGCTTCTAAAGCTTCACAGCTCCCTCTGCCCTTCACCCTGCACTGGCCCGGACCCACCCAGCTGACCCAGAGGTTCGTCACAGGCAGGATTGCGTCCCTTCTGTCCTCTGTATTGCTCACCTTAAGTCGTTTAGGACAAACGATTGGTGCCCCATAAATAACTGCCTTCGCACAGAATCATGATTGCTACTTTATAACAAAGCAATTTTATTTTTAATTAACTAAAGCTGAGAATTTTTTCAGCCTACAGAGAAAAAAAATGCAAATAAAAGCCTGGAAATATCAGGGTGACTCAAGCCCATTGACTGGATCATGGTTTTCCTCTTCCTCCTTTTACGAACGGTATCAGGCAAATATCATGCATGGGTACGTGCTTTGTAAATATTTTCTGGTGACGGGAGGGTGTTGCTCTGTTACAGGCATTTGCAGAGCTGAAAAACCAATACGCTGTTCTTCAACATAAGACCAGTGCTACAGGACTGACAAAGGTGACTTTAGAAAAAGTGGAGCAGCTAAAAGATGCGGCAGAAAAACTGGCGATAGATACAGAGGACAAGATAAGAAGAATAGCAGGTATCTCTTCCCTTCTTCCAGCTTTACCAAGGTCTAGGTGACAGGTGAAATTGTATATATTTAAAGTGTACAACGTGACAATATATGTTGTGATATGATTACCACGATTAAGTTAATCAACACATCCACCTGCTCACATAGTTACTGTTTTCTTTTTATGGTGAGAATGCTTAAGATCGACTCACATACACAATGCAATACAACATTGTTGACTAGTCAGCACCACACCGAACATTCGATCCCCAGAAACTTTTCTTCTTAAAACTAGAAGTCTGTCCCTTTGCCCAGCCTCTCCCCATTTCCCCCACCTGCTGGACCCCGGCAGCCACCGTTCTTCTCTCTGCTTCTGTGAGTTCTGGTTTTTTTTTTTCTTTTTTCTTTTTTTTTTTTTTAGATTCCATATACAAGTGAGATCATATTATATTTGTCTTTCTCTCTCTGGCTTATTTTCACTTAGCGTAACATCCTCCAGGTTCACCTATGTTGCAAACGGCAGGATTTCCTTCTTTTTTTATGGTTGAATACACCATACACCCCCCACACACACATTTTCTTTATCCATTGATGGGCACTCAGGTTATTTCCATATCTTGTTTATCGTGAATGCTGCAATGAACATGGGAACACAGATATTTCTTTGAGATATGGATTTCATTTCCTTCAGATATATACCCAGAGAGGGGATTGCTGGATCATATGGGAGTTCTATCGATTCTATTACACGCTCCACCAATTTGACAATTACTTAATACTTCACCTTCCTGGTAGTATTTATACCAGCTTATCATTGGCACAGTTCAATTACCTATGAGCCCACTGAGTCGAGGAAGTAGGAATTGGGTCAGTGCCTTGGGGACTGCAATATAACAAGCCACTTGCATGGTTTTACTTCAAAGGGTATCAGGGAGTCTCCACTCTGCCTTCATCAGAACAAACTCCCATTGCCTTCAGTCAACTGGAAATGCCCTTTTCCTAACCCCCTGGTTCTCAACCAGGGGTGATTTTTATCTCCTTCCCTGGGGACAAAAGTGTCTGAAGACATTTCGGCTTGTCACAACTAGGGGGTACAACTAGCATCGAGTGGATGGGGGCCGGGGACGCTAGTAAACATTCTATAATATACAGGACAGTCCCATGATGAACGATTATTTTGCCCAGGGCGCTAAGAGTGTGGATGTTGAGAAACTTGAGAAACCCCGTCCTAACCTATGCTGCTTATTTTCTCCTCCCATGCAGATAACTGTTTCGGAGTCACTATGATCTAGACTCCAAGGCACTCGTCATCTTGTATAGATCTGTGGGTAGCATTCCAGAAGGATCCGTAGTCTGGACCAGCATTTTGATCAAAAACGGAAATTTTGATGCACACCAAGTGTAGTTAACATGGAATACACACAATCAGAAAGTTAATTAGAATCTTTTTTCTCCACAACGGGTGCTCATGATTTTTCTGGGCAGTCATCATGCCCTTAGCAGCTACCTCTAAATCATCAAGAAATATCCAATGATGAATGGTCTAGTTCTACTTTTGGTTGCATTTATTGTCTCCAAAACTTTAAAGTTAGTCATATTCATTTGGAATATAAGTAATTCTCAAGGTATTAAAACCACCAAGATGCCTCACTTATAATGCTTCTTTGTTATAAAATGAGTCTTTGGCCTTAGAACCATTCATATCACCACTATGACGTGAAAAAAAATGAAAATGCAACATTGGTGTGGGCCAAAGTCAGGAAAAATACATACCAAACTGTTAACCTTCTTTATCTCTGGCGAGGGGGAGAGTGAAGAGGAAAACACTGCTTTTTGCATTTATATAATTGTTTGTATAATTTACATCCTTTACATTTATATAATTTACATTACTGTCATTTTAAGTATTTTCCTAATACTTTTAAAAAGGTATTACTAGGAAAGATTCAAAAAGACAGAATGTTGTTGTTTGTTTCTTTACCCTCCACAGGTAATAATCGCGAAAATCAGTTGCTGTAACTATAGGAGCAGAAACATGGGGAGAATATTTTCTGTCTTGTGTTTTATGTCAAGGCCCAAATTGTTTCCACTTATTCCCGTAGACTAGAACTTCCACAGTTTTTTGAAATTAGGTCAGAAGAGAAGTTAGGGGCCTTCCTTCTAAGTGAGGTCTAAAATCATGCTCTCCACTTTTTTGGCTCTCTTTTTAAAGCTGTTTTCACAGCTCAACAAGGTAGGAAAATAAGATATTGGCTTGGCCACCTTCCTGACTCTGCCGCTTGAGAAGGGTCTGACCCACAAGGGTTGCGCTCTAGTTCCACCTGGTAGGAAGAAGTGCCCAGGGGACACCAGAAAGGAGCCCTTCCTTACCTTGGCAGGGTCAAAGTGGAGAGAGTGGAGAAATGTCCCCAGTCTGCAGCCAGGGTCCCTCCACAGAACTTTGTACCAGTCAGGGTCCCGGCGAGAACCAGGCAGCACGCTTGGAGATAATTCTGGATCACGTAGTTACAGTCAGAGTTGGCTCGGTTATCTATTCATTGTGCAACAAAGCACTCCCCATATTTGGGGGTTAGAACAACAACCATGCATGATTTTTCTGTGGGTTGCCTGGGTGGTTCTTCTGCAGGTCTGTGCTGCTCCCAGCTGATGGGTCAGCTGGCTGGTGCGCCTGGGGCCAGGCTTGACTGAGATGCTGGCCCTCTTTCTACGGGCTCTTCCAGCCCAGCGTGCTTTACAGCTTGCCTGCGTCTCGGTTCCTCAATGAGCAGAGTAAGGCCCTTGAGGTCCTGTGCACTGATTTCTCTTACTTTCTGTTGGTCAACACAACAGGCCCAGCTGGACCTGGTTTGAGGGGAGAGGGCAAATACCCTCTGCTTCTTGATGGGAGGAACTCTTAAAAACACACAGGCGTTCCGAGAGCCCACTGAGGGTGTGGACGTGTTGCGTGACCGGCTGCAGTGAGAAGCCATCAGCATCCCTGGGCCCGAAGGAGCGGGGGACGCGGGAGGGCTGGTGCTCTGAGGGCACTCTCGGAATGCTGGAGCCAAAGGCAAGGGACCACCTTGCAGGCTGAGGGGAGAGATGTAAGAACTGCCAGAACCCTTCGGCTCCACAGGGACAGCCTGTTCACTCTCCCCACCCCGCCCCCGCCCCTGGTCACTTCTCTGAACTGTCTAGTGGCCAAGTGTGAACGAGCTCCGAAGATCCCGGGAGCCAGATGATGTCATCCACTGAGGCTGGCTTTCCAGGACAGAGCAGGACGGAGGATGGATGTGGGCAGGCGAATGAGGAGGGACCAGCACAGCCTCATTAACTGCTAAGGAAGAAGCGCAGGGGTCTTTTTTCTTGTTAGTACAAACACACTTCCAGTGCTGGGTCTCCTTTTCAGTCCCAAATGATCTATATTTAAGTTTCCGGAGAGGGAATGCTCACCACCTCCCATAGCAGCTCTTTCTTTGAACAGCTGTGACTGCTAGAAAGTTCTTTATAATCAAAGTCTTCCTTCATGGAGGTTTCACCTGCTGGTTTTATTCTGTTTCCTCAGGATGACAAAACACATTTCCTCTGCTTTCGTAGGCCTCAAATACTTGAAAATAACTACAGGACATGCCCCTTAATCTTCTTCTTTCTCTATATAAAACATCATCAGTTAATTCATCTTTTGTTCACTGGATAGTTTCATATTTCTTCAGCAATCTGATTCCTTCCTCTAAACATACACTCCAGGCTGGTTTGACAACTCCCTCCTGATGATCCAGGTGTGACCTGTCCAGGTGAAGTGGGACATTTACCTTCCTTCTTTAAGAAGTTCCGCTTCAACCTAAGGGCAGTTTCTTACTGTTAACTGTGGCCCTATCTCTACCTCTTCCATCCACTATGGGCTCCTTGCTGGGGTTTACTATAATTCCCAGGTATTTTTTGAATGAAGTATGGATAAATGGATGGATGGATGGAAGGAAGGAAGGAAGGATGGGTGGGTGGGTAAGAGTGAAAGCCATCACTTTGCTCTTCCTGTTCAGGGGCTTGAATATCAGCAGAGCAGAATGAAGAAATGAAAAAGTCAGTGTTTTTTTTTACTGAAAGACTGAGGTCCCCTAAAGTGATGAACACATGTTAAAAAGTGAAGTTAAAACAGCAAGAGCAAACCTGTGGAAATATTCACCAAGTCCAATCAAGGCTCATCATCCGTCTTTTCATTTCTAACAAACTCTAACTAGCTTTCAACTGGCATTGATAAATGCCACTAGATATAAAATACTTTTTAGACAAAAACATCAGTTTGTCTGCTCTGGTTTGTGTGGAAACCTTGAGGAGCCTGGTGACAATAAATGTCTGTTGAATCAAAACGCAAAGCTAAATATGTCTTTAAGAGGCACAGAAATCCCTGTGTTTCATATAAGGTGTGCATCCAGGAAGAATCCACCAAAACCAAATCTATCCTTTACTTCATTTTCTTGTTTCAGATTTAGAAAAGAAGATACAAGATCTGAATCTGAGTAGACAAGAAAAAGCTGACCAACTGAAACAGTTGGAAGATCAAGTTGTTGCTGTTAAAAACGAGATTGATGAGCAAGAAAATAAATATGCTACTTGCTATACTTAGGCCGAGGTAAAGTGCAAAGTCACCCATGCCTTCTTTTCTGACGAGGAAGCCTGAGGAGCTTTGCTGAACTTGGGAAACAGAAATGGTCAGCCCCACCTCCTGCGTCTCCGGAGCTCACTCCTGGCCAAAGATCTGAGCTGGGCCAAGGAAATGCTTTTCCACATGGAATAGAAAGGGGGAAGTAGAGACATCATCTCTGGCTTCAGAAACCTTTCCTCTTCCCTTCCTTTCCCTTTCATACTGTAAAAATAATTTGTTACATATGATAAGTACAAAATAAATAAGTATTCTGTTTACTAATCATCACTTCAATCAAGTGAACCTAAGTGTGAAATCAGTTGCCAGTGGGGTGGGGTGGGGGGGCTTGCAGGGCGGAAATGCGTTACTAATCGATGGGCATAAAGTTCCGGTGAAGCAAAATGAATAAATTCTAGAGTTCTGCTATACATTGTATGTAAGTCAACAAGTGTATTCAGAAAGTAGATCTCATCTTAAATGTTCTTATCACAATGAAACAAAATAAAAATAAATTTAAAGAAATTAAGCTAAAATATATCAATGTCTCTAACACTATGATGGAATAAATCTGGATGGCATGTGCTAGATTGCCCCGTGTTTTATTTTTATTTGGATTTGCTTTAGCTATAAAACAATTATTCTGAATAAAATGCATACAATTCAAAATGTAACTTGTTTTTACACCCACTTCCCTCTATTTTCATTCTCTCAAACAAAGGATTCTGTTTGCCCCAAACGGCACTGGAACAATATTCAAAAAGATAAATATTGAAGTACTTTTCATAAATTGTCTGTAAGCAGTTTTGCTGTAAAATGTGCTACTGATTTTTGAAAGACCAGCAATTCCGTTGTTATTGTTTAGTGCAAAAGATCAGATTGTCTCATCTCAAAATGGGTCTATGATTTCGCATTAACTTTTTTTGCATGTATGATATATAACCGAGCACCATTGCTTCTGTTTGTGAAAGCCATCCTTCAGAGGGATTATTTTAAGGGAATTCGGCCCCACATTTTTGAATAAGAAATAATGGACACCAACACTGATGTATGAAAGAGGAAAGCTGCTGGAGCCATCTCCCTTAAGGACTGACTCGTAAAAAATGACTCTAAAAATTCAACGAAGGGGCTTTAGGATTACACATAAATATGGAATTTCTTAAAACATACGTTGTTTAGGAAAATTGCAGTTTCCCTGGAGATCCTGAAGAATGAAATGAAATTTTTCTACCAGAAAGCCCATCAGAAATTTCTCTTGAAATGGCATGATTGAAATGCTCTTTCTATCCAGCACTTAGACACCTGGAAACTTCTACCAACAAATGACACACAAACTGAACCAGAGTTGAAACATAGACTGTCACAAAATCTAAGTTGTGTACTCCAGTAGAGTAGAGGGTGGAAGACACTCCAGCCTTCCCACCAGGATATTGACTTCCACTCATGCACGGCTGATAGACTTGACGAGCATGATTATCTGTTTGCAATAGCAACGTTCAACTGTCCTAGCCTTGCAGTCGTAGGAGACTACACAAGTAACAGCTAGGGAGTGTGGAAAGGGCTAAAGGGGGAGCAGTTTCTGTCCTCTGACCTGGAGGCTGTTGAGGTCACCCGGGGTAGAAAAATTCCCCAGCCCTAAGGAAAGGGCAGTAATCTGGAGAATCATGTCCAAGGGTAAGATAAACCCATCATCTCCTCTGGGCCTCAGGGATCGGGGATCGCAGTTTGATGAGGTCAGGGAGGATGTGATGCACTTTGGAAAGGTTGTCATTAAGAAGTGGTTATGCTTTCTAAACTTTGGTGTGTAAAATGATAAGCTTTGGGTGTCTTTAAAAAATGCACCTATGTGAAAAGTCTTCTTCCTCAGATAAATCATTTCTAACTTCTATTACTTGCTGTATCCGTTGTTCAAGACGTGACCAAGGCAAAGATTTGGTGAAACGGTATCTTTTATACATTGCAAAGTCTTCTGAAAATGTATAGCAAGATCTATCCTGAGACCCAGTTGAACCTGTATATTAAGAAAATAACCTTAAATGCAGGGGGAGAAAAGCTTTGTGAATAATTCATTGCAGCACTGCTTATATTAAAAATGCAAATAATCCAAATAATAAAAAACCAATTAAATATTATGATTTTACCAGTCTGGTTCTTGGATGCAAACACTGACATATGCAAACAATAACAGCTTATTATGCAGGAAAGGAATTTCTTTTTTTTTTAAAGATTTTATTTATTTATTTGAGAGAGAGAGAATGAGAGAGAGCATGAGAGGGAAGGGGGTCAGAGGGAGAAGCAGACTCCCTGCTGAGCAGGGAGCCCGATGTGGGATGGGAGCCCAATGCGGGACTCGATCCCGGGACTCCAGGACCTGAGCCGGAGGCAGTCGCTTAACCAACTGAGCCACCCAGGTGCCCGAAAGGAATTTCTTTAAAGGTAATCTCATGGCACATAAAGTTGAAGAAATGACTGGGGAAAATGTAACCAAGGACTGTTACGCATCTGGGAATATATCCAAGATCACACCCCAGGAGCACTCAGGTGAGGATTCTAATGCTCGCCCTACTGGACATTCAGCACCATCCAGTTAACTCTCAACTGTCTTGCAGCTCGTGTCCCTCTCCCATGACTCAAAAATCCCCGGGAGAAATATCCAACTGCTTGACCTCTTCATGTGCCCTGGCTGCCAGAGAGAAGACAGAACATCTGCCCCCTTTAGCTTTGGTAGTGGGAGCAGAGTTTTGTCTCCACCTATCTTGGAATCTTCCAAGGTGGGAAGTGTTTTGATGGCAAGCGATAAAAAATTACAAATTTCCATCATAGTCCACCTTTTCCTGATATCATGATACATTCATCCCACATCTGATCCTAAAACAAAAACAAACCCTTCCACCAAACGCAACGTTGCATCCACTCAGCCTTCTGGAAGCACATCCACCCTGTCTTCAAGGAAACCAACCCAGAGTCCCATCACTCGCTGACGGCATCCAGCTGTAATCTCTCCCTTTTCCACTTCTGTTACGATTTGGTCTCCGATGTCCCACAACTTACAATCCAAATGATAAAATTTACCACCAACACATATCGAGTATAGAGTTGTGGGGGAAAGAAGGGAACTTAAAAGGAAATTAATATATTTTTATATTTTATAATAAAAAATACAAATACATACAAAACATCACACTAAGAACACAGATTGGGATTGCAGGCTTCATTTCTGTTAACTCTTCAAGAGGCTGCATTGGGATTAATGATCTTGCCTTCCTAGTCATTCCATCTTCCCTCCACCTTCAGCAAACATCTAAAGAGATAAAAACACCAGCTAGAGTGACCCAAACCTTCTTTCCTGGGCATTCTGTCTTTGAAGGTCCTGCAAGTGCAGGACATTACATTATTTTGTGCTTGGACTTGGCAGGACTGGATTGTCTAGACTGCAGTCATACCCCTCCCCTGTGGCCACTGTGTAACAAAAGCTCTATTTCTCTTTAAGAGTTGAGATCAATTACCCCAATCAAAATGATAATTCCCCCCCATCACCACTTTCTTTGGCCAGTTTATCTGTTAGCATGAGGACTCTGAAAGAGCTGGGTATTGGTATGTATTCCAATTCAGTGGTGCAACTAGTGTGTTACCTAGTAAAAACATACTTCCTTAGACACCGGAGCCCAAAGTCAGGTATAGGAAGTAAAATTTTGCCTCTGAGGCATTTGGATATAATTCTGAACAGTGTCAGATAGATTTTCCCTCTCTCCTGGTTTCAGATCCATGTAGTCTGCATCGAGAAGGCTCCATCAGTTTTCACGGAAGAACGCACAGCTCTGCCTTGCATCAAATGAATACATTTTCTTTGCTTCTGTTATAATTATTCTAACAGTTTCCTAAACTTGGGTTGAGTGAACACTACATCTGCCCGGCACTGGGAAGTCTCTTGAGGTGTGTGAGGGACCAGCATAGAGAAGTCTAGACTGAACTCCATGTGTCTCAGAGCAGCGGTTGAGTGAAGGGCAGCAGATAGAGAGCCTAGGTTGAGACCGAGAGTAGTGACTGGGCTCATAGGGACTGACACAGGTGACACTCAGTAACAGGGCAGCAGACGGGACCTATGACTGTGACTGTGGAAGGGAGAGCAAGGTGGTGGACAGCGCGCCAGTAAATGTGAGGAAGCCCTGTTACCAGAGGTCAGATGGAGACATTGGCAAACCAGCTAGTCTCATCAGAAAATCATTATGAAGATCAGGAAACATTACTATGAGGTAGCCAGTGTGGTCCATTAAAGAAACAATTCTTTCTCCTAAATTAGAAACCAATCTCAGGTGAAGGGCAGCTCGGGGCCAGGAGTTAAGTGCCATTAGCCGACAGCACCAAGGTGGCAAGATGAAGGGGAACCAAAAGAATTGCTGTCCAATATCTTTCTTCCTTCTGTCTTTTGGGAATAGAATTCCTCCATGTTCTAAACAGGCACGTGACTGCCTAGTTGGAGAAACTATTTCTCAAATTCCCTTGCAGTTCAGTGCAACCATGTGACTGAATTCTGGCCGGGAGGATATTCGTGAGAGTGTTGTGTGCAACTTCAAGGACACAACTTTAAAAGGAAGCTGTTCAACCTCCGTGGGAGGCAAGAATAATGGCCCTCAGAAGATAGCCATGTCCTAACCTCCATAGCCTGTGACTATGTTATGTTACATGGCAAAGGGAAATGAAGGTTGCAGATAGAATTACTGTTTGAATCAGCTGACCTTGAAATGGGGCAATTAGCCCGAACTATCCAGGTGGGTCCAGTGTAATCGTAAGAGTCCTTAAAAGTGGAAGAGGAAGGGGCACCTGGGTGGCTCAGTCATTAAGCGTCTGCCTTTGGCTCGGGTCATGATCCCAGGGTCCTGGGATCGAGCCCCGCATTGGGGTCCCCGCTCCGCGGGAAGCCTGCTTCTCCCTCTCCCACTCCCCCTGCTTGTGTTCCCTCTCTCGCTGTGTCTCTCTCTGTCAAA